ATTTGCCAATTCTGGACATTTCGTATAAGTATTCACATTTTAATTATGATATGTTTGGGTGTGAGTCTGTTTGGGTTCTTCTTGTTTGGGGTTCTCTGTGCCTCCTGATCTTGTATGACTTTTTCCTTTACCAAGTTAGGAAAGTTTTCTACCATGATTTTGTCAAACACCTTCTCTATTCCTTTCTGCCTCTTCTGGTGTACCTACTATTCTAATATTAGGTTTTACTTTGTCCCACAGCTCCCTTAAGCTATCCTCCTATTTTTTTTTTTTTTTTTTTTTTTTTTTGGTTCTCTAATTGAATGATATTGTCATCTCTGTTTTCTAATTTACTGATTTTATCCTCAGTTTCTTATCTGCTGTGTTTCCATTCCAGTTTATTCTTAATTTGTGTTATGTCATTCTTTATCTTAGACTGTTCTTTTTTCATAGTTACTATATCTTTTTTCATACTGTTGAACATTTTTAACATAATTACTCTGAACTCTGTTTCAGATTAAGTTTCTTATCTCTGCTTCATTTGTCTCTTCTTCTGGAAAATTCTAGAGTTGTTTTTTTTTTAATATGTTTTATTGATTTTTCACAGAGAGGAAGAGAGAGGGATAAAGAGAGAGAATCATCAATCAGCTGCCTCCTGCACACCCCCTACTGGGATATGCCTGCAACCAAGGTACATGCTCTTGACCAGAATCGAACCTGGGACAATTCAGTCCCCAGGCCGACGCTCTATCCACTGAGCCAAACCGGTCCCGGCAAATCTAGAGTTCTTTCATTTGGGTACTGTTTCTCTGTTTCCTCATTTTGGTTGTTTGGGTTTGTAAATCCTCTACACCTCTCAATCTCTAATGCATAACAGTGTTAAAGGCTGTTTCTGACTAATTGGATCAGGCAAAGACTCAAAGCCTTTAGAAACCACCTGTCCACAGACTAATAGGATTCTGACTTGAATTGCCCCCAGGTAATCATCATCAGGTGTGGCAAGAGTTCTTTCAATAGGGTGGAGCAGTTGCTTCTGCGCTTTATGAGGGAATGGCTCAGCCCAGAAAACTTGGGGTGTCTGCCTTCTGAGCTCTATCTCCAGAGTTTCCAGTCCTGGGTGCTGCTGTCATAGCTCCAGTCCACTTCACCCTCCCTCTGCCAGAGCACAAGGTGGATGGCTCCACAGGTAATTTTTATGCATTGGCCCTTCAAGAGGGTGCCCTAACTTTCAACTGCCATTCCCTGGCAGACAGTATCCCACTGTTTTTCACAGCTAGATGTCATGTGGGTACCTTCCTCAGATTTGGTGCTCTCTGCTGGAGAGCCCAGCTTCAGGATTAGATCCCAGAGTTTTCGGTGGCACCCCTCCACAGCTGAGATATCTCTCCAGGACTTCAGTTGCCGTCGGTGGGTGCTCAGCTAGCCCTTTCTCGCCTCTGCCTCTCCTACCAGTTTCTGTGCGGTCTCCACCTTCAGTTGTGGGTATCAGGGTTCTCTCCTATGAATTTTCTATTGATTATTCAGGAAACCTTTCTGTATTTCATTTGTAATTCCAGCTTGTTCTTGGGAACATGTCTGTGCAGCATCCTCCTGCTCTGTCTCCATTTTTAATCTTTCTCTGCTTCATTCTGTTTTATTGCCACATTTATTTATCCATTCATCAGTTCATGGACATTTGAATTCTTTCTACTTTTTGGCTATTACAAATAACTAGAGGCCCAATGCATGAAATTCCCTCAGCCCAGCCTGCCCCCTCTCACAGTCTGGGAGCCCTCAGGGGATGTCCTACTGACAGCTTAGGGGAGTGAGGAGCAGGGGAGCAGGCCTAAGCCGCAGTCTGACTTCCCTCTACGGGAGATGACCAGGTTGGCAATCGGTGATGGCGCCAGCCCCCATCACCCCACCACTGCTGGTTGCTGATGTCCCCCACCCCACCCTACCACTGTCCCCTCCCTCTGTCCGCTGGCATGTGTTTTGGCTGGCCTGGTGACACCTACTCACCCGCCCACTCCCCACTGACTGGTTGTTCTGCCATTCAGTCAATTTGCATATTGGATGCTGCTGTATTTTATTTACATACAACTTTTTGTGTGCACCTATGTTTTTATTTCTTTTGAAGAGATTATATACCTAGAAGTGGGTCTCTGAATCGTAAGGTAACTCTGTTTAACTGAAAATTCCATTGTCATCCTGTTTTTAATTTATATCAAATTGGAAAGATCTTAGAATCCAGTGGGCCTGTCATTTTGTTCTACTTTAAAGAAAGGGATGGTCCTAATCAGTTTGGCTAAGTGGATAGAGTGTCAGCCTGTGGACTGAAAGGTCCCAGGTTTGATTCCGGTCAAAGACATGTATCTTGGTTGCAGGCACATCCGTAGCAGGTGGTGTGCAGGAGTCAGCTGATCAATGTTTCTCTCTCATCAATGTTTCTGACTCTATCCTACTCCCTTCCTCTCTGTAAAAAAATTCAATAAAATATATATTTTTTTTAAAAAAAAGAAAGGAATGAAAGGATTTTGATATTGACTTTTTTATATCACTAGTAGGTAAGTAATCTAATCCTTCTGTGTCACCATTAACACACTGAATGATACTAGCCATAAATTGAAGCTTTTATTATTGAACAAAACTTCTCTTACTTAGTATGTGAAGATCTGAGATTTCTGTTGTAAATGCAGTGAATTAGTGAGGGTTTGGTCGCTGTTACTAAAAGAAAACTGTAGAGGTCAGTAAAAGTACATTAGAGAAATAGTACCATATAGCTTTTTTTTTTTTTCCTCTCCAAAGTTTAATTTCACTTCTAAGAGTTTGTTCTAAAAGAGTTTGTAAGCTCTTGCCGAGACTGGTTTGGCTCAATGGATAGAGCGTCGGCTTGGGGACTGAGAGGTCCCGGGATCGATTCCGGTCAAGGGCATGTACCTTGGTTGCGGGCATATCCCCAGTAGGGGGTGTGCAGGAGGCGGCTGATCGATGACTCTCATCGATGTTTCTAGCTCTCTCTCTCCCTTCCTCTCTGTACAAAATCAATAAAAATATATTAAAAAAAAAAAAAAAAAAAGAGTTGTGGGCTCTTATGAATTCAAAGTTTCCAGATTTATACTTTATCCTCCAGGGACCAAACTACCACTTTTACTGACATGTGTAGTTTTAAAAAAAATCTAACGAAGCACTTAATATGTTTCAGGCACTGCTGTGAGTTAATTTTAAAAGAATTAATGTGGCCGAGACCGGTTTGGCTCAATGGATAGAGCGTCGGCTTGGGGACTGAAGGGACCCGGGTTCGATTCCGGTCAGGGGCATGTACCTTAGTTGCGGGCATATCTCCGGTAGGGGGTGTGCAAGAGGCAGCTGATCGGTGACTCTCTCTCATTGATGTTTCTAACTCTCTATCTCTCTCCCTTCCTCTCTGTACAAAATCAATAAAATATATTTAAAAAAAAAAAAAAAAAAAAAAAAAAGAATTAATGTGAATTAGGTGATGTCATTATCCTCATGCTTATGTAAAGGAACTGAGGTGCAGAGATATTTAAAAAATTTACCCTCCTTATAAAGCAAATAAATTGCTAAACCAGACTTCAAACCCTAGCTATCTGATCAATAGTCCATACTGTGAACTCTGGCTGGTATAACTCGGGCATCTTCCCATGCACCAAAAGGTCTCTGGTTCCATTCTCAGTCTGGGCACATGCCCAATATTTGGGTTCGATCCCCAGTAGGAGGTATGCAAAAGATAACCCATCTATGTTTCTCTCACATTGATGTTTCTCTATCCCTCTCCCTCTCTTTAAAAAAAAAAAAAAAATCAGCCGAAGCCGGTTTGGCTCATGGATAGAGCGTAGGCCTGCAGACTGGAAGATCCCAGGTTCTTCAGTCGAGGATGTGTACCTTAGTTGCGGGCACATCTCCATTGGGGGATGTGCAGGAGGCAGCTGATCGATGTTTCTCTCTCATTGATGTTTTTAACTCTCTATCCCTCTCTCTTCCTCTCTGTAAAAAAATCAATAACATATATATTTTTAAAAATCAATAAAATAAAGTATTAAAGAGTATTATAGAGAAATAGAGTCCAAATTGTGAAACAATTCTCTGTACTGCCTCTCAAATATTATGCAAATATAAAATATTACTACTTGCTATTATTACAGTTAATTAAAGCTTTTGTTTGCACAGATAGTAACCAGATTTCCGCTGAATTCTCAGAACCTACATTAGAGTAAATATAAATATTTTTAAGGAGTGGAGAAATTAGAATAAATCCTCATGTTCCCACCTAAGGACTGGGATTCTGCTAAAGACCAAGAATTCTGTCCATTTTTATGCATCATGTGATTACTGAAAGAATAAGGGAATTCTGTTTTATGTTAATCATAATTGAAGTCATAATACTTTATTGTTGGTTTGGTTAATTAGTTCTTTTTCTTTTTTTTTTTAATATATTTTATTGATTTTTTACAGAGAGGAAGGGAGAGAGATACAGAGTTAGAAACATCGATGAGAGAGGGTCATCGATCAGCTGCCTCCTGCACACCCCCCACTGGGGACATGCCCGTAACCAAGGTACATGCCCCTGACCGGAATCGAACCCGGGACCCTTAAGTCCCCAAGCCGACGCTCTATCCATTGAGCCAAACCGGTGCCGACAATTAGTTCTTTTTCCACCCATCCTCCCATCCTATCCCCATGGCTAAGAAAATCCATGGCAAAGTTTAATTAAAAGTAAAATTATTTTTAATTTTTGCAACAATTGAAGGGGTTCTAAGATCATATAGGGTCAGTGTTGGGAGTCTCTTTGAGTCTAGGTTGTTTTCTCCTTGCTTTAGGAAGAAAAGTGGGGTGGAGGATTGGGAGTTGGTTTGCCTTAAAAATATTCTTAAGAGTAAACATGTGGAAGAATACTTGCATCCTCTGTGTGATTTTGATTGTTTTAGTTGAATGGAAATGAGTTGTGGGGAATTAAAAGATAGTGGAGAGATCTGACTGGTTATTCCTTCATTCTAGAGTTGGCTCAAATAACTGTGTTGATGGCTATGCAGGAAAAATATCCAGGTGAGAGAAACTCTCATTCCACTTCACCAGGTGAGTAGTCAAAGTTTTCTGGGTAAATTCTGACCTTTGTTCTGTTATAACAAACTTTCTTTAAAGGACAAACTGAGCAAGCAAATATTTGCTGAGATGCTGGTATTAAAACTTAATTGTTGGTTTTGTTATTGAGTTCAATAACATGGGGCTATATTGAAAGGAAAAAGAGGTCTCTCCAAGATTGTTTATGTCTGGTCCTACATGGCTTACAACAAGACCACGTGATTGATTGAGACAGGAGGACACATAAAGGATTGGAACAGAATGACTTTGGAACATAGTGCTATTTGAAATCAGAAAAACACAGCATAAATTACTGTGTTCTATGTTGTCTTTGTAGTTCTGTGAGTGGGTCAGTCATCTGCTAGCCCACAAAGATTGGAATTCTTGAATGCCAACAGTCTCAGTTGTATTATCACTAGAGACTCAGGAATTTGTCTCTAGAATGGATTGATAAGATTTTGAAAACTCAATAGATATACGGTACTAAAAGGATGTATTAAGTATATATATATTAAACCTGATAAATATATACACAAAATATATATTAAATAGATATGGTACATTTAAATAGGAAAAATCATTCCAAAAATAACCTTTTGAATTCTGTGGTATTTATGAAAAAAGGATATATTTTATTCAATTAAGGGTATGTTTTATTTAACTTTAAAATCCCACGGTGTCTTAAAGCAGACATTTGGTAAATAGTTATTTTATTCGCCTAGGCATGCTGCCTTGCATATAGTAAGCACTTTGAAAAGCATTTGCAAAAAAAAAAAAAAAAAAAAAACCATTTGCTGAATCAATTTAAGATTCATTCAGCAACTATTTGAACATCCATTATGTGCTATGCACTGTCTTAGGCTGGATTATACAATTTATAATAATAATCTACAATAAAAAGGATAATATGCTAATTAGAACAGATGTCCTTCTGAACGAAGCCAGGGCAGAGGAAAGACCGGGTCCTGGGTGCCAGAGGGAAGCTGGTGCCAGCAGCCAGGGTAAGGAAGGCCTACTCTTGTACAAATTTCATGCATCAGGCCTCTAGTTTCTTATAACAATTATGTGTATAATGCAAGTTTCTGGAATGTAGCAATTCCTAAACTCAGCTTCTTTTTATGGTTTTGTCTTCAGTAATTTTTCATTTCATTAATAATGGTTAAAGTTTGATAAGGATGCTACTGATAGGACATGTGATATGAAAATTTCAGCTTTCATACTTGAATTTTGAAATAAACATAAGCCTGTATATACCAACATACTTTTATTTTAGCAAATACGTATTTTTTAGTAGAATGGATATATAGAGTGGGTGCGTGAGAAAAATGGTTAGTGGTGAAGAGTGGAAGATTAGTAATAACAGGGAGAGGTTTCTAGCAGGAGGCCAGGAACATGGTAATACAGATTCTCAATCAATTTTTACTATTTCAAAAGGCCTGGTAAACTGTACACTGACTAGAGAGGTAATACTATATAGACTCACCAAGAGGTCAGATTTCTTTGATTCTGACTAGAATTACACTAATTTAGTATAGTTAACACTGGCTAATCTTATGCTGATCAGAAGATCTGATTGTTGGTTATGTCTTTAATTAAAGACAAAATTCATGCACAGGGGGGTAGGGGGGTATTCCTCAGCCTGGCCTGCACCCTCTCCAATCTGGGACCCTTTGAAGCATGTTCTACCACAGATTTACAGGGATTGGGCCTAAATCAGCAGTCAGACATCCCTTTCACAATTTGGTACTGCTGGCTCTAGCCGTTCACCTGCCTGCCTGCCTGCCTGTCCCTAACCACTCTGCCTGCTGGCCTGCCCCCAAATGCCCCCTCCCCCGCAAGCTAAATCACCCCCAACTGCCCCCCCTGCTGGCCTCCTTGCCCCCGCCTTCCCTCCCCACTGGCCTCCTCACCCCCAACTGGCCCCCTGTTGGCCTACTCCAAACTGCCTCCCCCCCCATCCTAATCACCTCCAACTGACCCCAACTGATGGCCTGCCACCCCTAACTGGCCCCACTGCTGGTCTGCTTACCCTCAATGCCCCCTGCCATCCCATCCTAGCCTGACCATCCCCCAGCGACCCAAGGTCCTAGCCCTCCTTTTTTTCTTTTTCTTTTTCTTTTTCTTTTTTTTTTTTTCCCAGCACCTCTTTGAGGGGAGGCCAGGGCTGGCTGGAAGCAAGTATCTAGGATTTATCTTTTATAATTGAAACTTTGTAGCCTTGAGCGGAGGTCAGGGCCTGCCAGGGCAGGAGAGAAGCTTGGCTCCTCCATTGCCAGGGCAACCCAAGCCTCCTGCTTGCTCCAGCTCCGTGGCCAGCTGCCATCTTGGTTGGGTAAATTTGAATACTCTCTCCCGATTGGCTAGTGGGCATGGCTTGTGGGTATAGTGGAGTGATGGTTAGTTTGCATGTTTCTCTTATATTCGTGTAGACAGATTACTAGAGGCCCGGTGCACTAGAGGCCATCTGTGCATGGGTGGGGTCCCTCTGGGTGGTCTGCAGGGATAGGGCAGAAACCCTCAGTCCAATGCCACCTCCCAAGGGGAGTGACCTGTGGGATTGGGCTGAAACTGGCTTTCTGACATCCCCGAAAGGGTCCCGGATTATGAGAGGGCGCAGGACAGGCAGAGGGACCCCACCAGTGCACAATTGGGCGGGATGGGATGATGGGAGGGCTCCAGGAAGTGTCTAGCCCATCTTGCTCAGTCCTGATCAGCCAGACCTAAGTAGCAAGCTAACCACTGGTTGGATCATCTGCCCCATGGTGGTCAGTGCAGGTCATAGTGAGTGGTTGAGCAGCCTTAGCATATCATTAGCATATTAAGCTTTGATTGGTTGTTTGGTTGTTCTGCTATTTGGTCTATTTGCATATTACCCTTTTATATACGATTACATGTCCTGACCATTGTGGTTGAAACATTATCCAGTACACCAAAAGGTGGTGGGTTTGATCCTAGATCAGTGCACATGTCCCAGTTGTGGATTGGATCTCCAGTTGGGACATGTACAGGAAGCAACCAATTAATGTTTCTCTCTCACATCCATGTTTCTCTCTCTCCCGTCCTCTCTAAAAAAGTAAATATAAATAAAAGACTTTCATTTAAAAAAAAGATTATTACAGATTACTGCATGCATATAGATTCTTTCAAATCAGACAGTTCACTTTACCAAAAGGATAAAAAGAGTCTTTGGGTAAAATTAGGTTTCCTTTAGTAGACTGCAGAAGTAATGGTAGCAAAAAAAGGAGCAAAAGTAGAAGGAATTAGGTGGCTTGGAAGAAGGGAATAAGATGATTTGTGTTCAAATATTATTAGCTTCCTGTTAGATCAGAGGATCTGTAGAACCATATTTTCTGATTTCACTTTAAACTCTGATATCTTAAAGAGTTAAGTAAAAAAAAAAAAAAAAGAAAGAAAAAGAATCAAATAACTGCCATTACCTTTTACTGTTTGTTTTTGCTTTTTTCCTGTTTTGTTACATCGGTTATAATTTAGAAAAATTATAGTGGTTTTTAAAAAATAATGAGTCCTGGCCAGGTAATCAATTGGTTAGAACATTGTCCTAATATGCCAAAGTTGCGGTTCCATTCCCTGTCAAGGCATACACAAGAATCAGCCAATAACTAAGTGAGACAACAAATCTATGTTTCTCTCTCAAATCAATAAGTAAAAAAAAATTTTTTTAATAATTTGAATTTAAATCTTCGCTAGTAAAGTAAAATAAATTTCATCAGCCTATACCTTACCCACTCAGAAACTTTAGTGGTTTGTTTGGTTGGTTGATTTGGGGTGTTTGTTTTTGCATTGCCCTCAGAAGCTCTTCAGGTTGACTTTCAAGACTCACCTTGATCTGGATTCACCCTGCTCATGAAGGCCCTGTGGTTCAGTCAAGCAATGGTTTCCCTATTACCCTAGAGAGCATTCGGAAACATACTGGGTAGTTTCAGGTTGCACAGTGATGGTAGGATGGGGTGGGCTACTCACGGTATTTAGTGGATTGGGACCAGGAATGTTTGTTTTTTTTAAATATATTTTATTGATTTTACACAGAGATGAATTGAGAGGGATAGAGAGTTAGAAACATCGATGAGAGAGAAACATCGACCAGCTGCCTCTTGCACCCCCCCCACTGGGGATGTGCCCGCAACCAAGGTACGTGCCCTTGACCAGAATCGAACCCGGGACCTTTCAGTCCGCAGGCTGACGCTCTATCCACTGAGCCAAACCGGTTTTGGCGGGAACCAGGAATGTTAAATCATTCTTTATACACTGAAGAATTGTCTTGCCCAGTAGGCTAACAGTACCTGTTGAGAAACCTTGTAAGAAGAAAGAATGTGGGTAGTGGGATTAGAACAACCTAGGTTCCAATCTCAGTTCTATCCTCTGTAAAATAGGGGTGTTAATATGATAATACTTTTCAGTAAATATGTAGATGAGATTATATTTATAAAGTGCTGTGTCTTCTAGATTTCAGAAATGGTAGCTACTATCAAATATTGTTCTCTGTCTCAGTACTCCTGGATTACTGATAGGTCTTGGTTCTGTCTTTGAACATTCTCACTTCTCATGCTATTTCCACTTAAAATTAACAAACTTAGAGTTGCTGAAATAGCATAGGAGAGAGAAGGGGATGGGATGCTACTTTTCCCACAAGTTTAAGTGGTTTTTCAAAAACAGTCTTGTGGGCTTGCATCAGCTGGCTCACTCTAAAGGCGGAAATGCTCCTTGTTCCAGGTTCCATTGTGATTAAGAAAAACAGTTCTCCGGGTTGTGAATGGCAGACTCCAGTTATCTCGGAGGCCTTTCGGAGCCGCTTCAGCCGCTGCTCAAGTGTTACCGACAGTGGGGACACAGCCATTGGCACGTCATGCTCAGACATGGCAGAGGGTAAGTTTGGATTAATAATTTGATTACCAATATGTGTTGTCATTTTCAGATTATGTCCTAGGTGTATTGTCATTTCCAGAATATTCATAAGTCAGTCCACCAAGTCTGCCTGATTCCTCTTATTCCATGCTTCCCACAGCTGGTTCCTTCCTCTCAATATCTACTGCTTGTCCTATCACAAACAACTTCTAATCTTTCCTCAAATCATTTCCTCTACTGCCAGATTAATCTTTCTTTCCCCCCCCCATTTTTTAAATTAAGGTATTATATGTGTACATATCTTACCATTGTCCCCCCCCCCCCCCCCCAACTTTCATACATGCCCTCACCCCCAGTATTTTGCATCCATTGGTTTTGCTTATATGCATGTATACAAGTCCTTCGGTTGGTCTCTTATCTTCCCCACCTCTCCCTAACGTTCCCACTGTAATTTGACAGTGTTTGATGCTTTACTGCCTCTATATCTTTTTGTTCATCAGTTTATAATATTCTTTATTATCCACAAATGAGTAAGATAATGTGGTATTTTTCTTTCATTGACTGGCTTATTTCACTTAGCATAATGTTCTCCAGTTCCATCCAGGTTGTTGCAAATGGTAAGAATTTCTTCTTTTTTATGGCAGCATAGTATTCCATTGTGGAGATGTACCATAGTTTTCTGATCCAGTCATCTGTTGACAGACACCTAGGCTGTTTCCAAATCTTAGATTAATTTTTCTAAAAGCCTGATTTTATAATTTCTCTTTTCTGCAATCCTCACTTGCTCCCATTATTTACAGGATAAAATTCAGAGGCCTCAGTTCTCTTGTGATCTTACCCTGTCCCACCTGTGTTTTTGTTGTTTGTTTTGTTTTTGCTGCAGAAAGCTTTATTATTTCCATTTGGTCAGTTCATGGGAGAAGGCTTTCAAGGTGGTTAAAAGAATGACTAGTAGTTTTCAGGGAGAGGCTCAGGTAAAAGCCAGACTTCTCTAAATAAAAACAACATATCTCATAAACTAAATTTTGAAAGCCTATGAAAATTGTGCAAGGTAGTGAGCCCTTTCAAAATAAGTGCTTCTATTTTTTTTTTTAATAAATTTTTATTGTTCATATTATTACAAATGTTCCTTCCTCCCCCCCTCCCCTCCATTGCTCTCCTCCACCATGTTCCCACCCCACCCTCTGCCCTTTCCCCACCCCCCATTGTCCTCATCCATAGGTGCACAGTTTATGTTCAGTCTCTTCCCATACCCCCCACTCCCCTTTTCCCTGAGAATCGTCAGTTCACTCCCCTTCCATATCTCTGATTCTATTATATTCACCAGTTAATATTGTTCATCAGATTTTTTTTTAATTTCCTTGGTTTTTAGATTCACTTGTTGATAGTTACATATTTGTTGTTCATAATTTTTATCTTTATTTACTTTCTCTTCTGAAAGAACCCCCTTCAGCAGTTCATATAATTTTGGTTTGGTAGTGATGAACTCCTTTAGCTTTTTTTTATTAGTGAAGCTTTTTATCTGACCTTCGATTCTGAGTATAGCTTTGCTGGATAGATTATCTTTGGCTGTAGGTTCTTACTATTCATCACCTTGAATATTTCTTGCCATTCCCGTCTGGCCTGCATGGTTTCTGTTGAGAAGTCAGCTGACAATTGTATAGGTGCTCCTTTATAGGTAACTACCTGCTTTGTTCTTGCTGCTTTTAATATTCTCTCTTTGTCTTTTGCTCTTGGAATTTTAATTATGATTTGTCTTGGTGTGGTCCTCTTTGGATTCCTTTTGTTTGGAGTTCTGTGCACTCCTGGACTTGTAAGTCTAATTCTTTCACCAGGTGGGGGAAGTTTTCTGTCACTATTTCTTTCAGTATGTTTTCGATATCTTGCTCTCTCTCATCTTCTGGGACCCCCATAATTCTGATGTTGGTTCGCTTGAAGTTGTCCCAGAGGTTTCTTACATTATCTTCAATTTTCTGGATTCTCTTGCCTTCTAGCTTCTGTGGAGGAGTGTCTTCTGGCTCTTTATGTTCCAAATCTTTGACTTGATTCTTGCGATCTTCCATTCTGTTTTAAGACTCTGTATAATATTTTTTATTTCAGACAATGTATTCTTTATTTCTTGTTGATCCCTTATCATTTCTCGTTGATTCCTCATTAATTCTAGTTGATCCCTTTTCATATCCTCATAGGTATTATCAATCTTTTCTAGGAAATTCTTGAAAAACCTTATAAGCGTAGATTTGAACTCTATATCCAGTTGCTTTTTGTCCTCCATTTCTTTTGTTTGTGATCTATTTCGTCTGGGCATTTTCGCAGCTTCACTCATGGGGCGGGGGTTTCAGGGTGGAGCCTACAGCTTTGGCTTCCGTCAGCCCCGCCCTATGTGACTCCTGGGTCTCAGGGTCCTTCAGTACTCGTTGCAAGCGCCTTTGAGAGAAAGGTGCCCTCAATTTTTGCCTGCTACCAAACAATCTAGGCTCTCCCCCACTGAGCCCGGAACTGGGGTTCAGTTCAGTTGGAAGTGGGGTTGGAGATGGCGTTCAGAGCAGTCTGGAGCCCCTGTCTCCTTCCCACCAGGGCAATCCCTCGGCACAGCCAACTGTCCCTTCTCTGCGCGCAATGTGCGTGCCTCCGGGACCTCCTTTCGCCGCTCCCCCGCGGTTCTGCCTTACAGCCCAGCTCCTTGTGGTTAAGCTTGGGTCTCCAGGGTCTGGCCTAGAACTGGGGTTCAGAGCAGTCGGAACTGGGGCCCAGCACAGTCAGAGCTTTTATCTCCTTCCTGGTAGGGAACGCCAGCCAGGCACTCAGCCTCCCTCCTCTCCGGCTCTGTCCTCTCCGTGCGCCGCGTGTCTCCGTACCTTAGGCTTTTACAGCTCCTCCGCGCTTCCTTCTGGTTTTCTCCTTGCTTCTCATTGTAGAATTTCCAGTCAGTCGACTTTCCTATAGTTCTGGGTAATGTCCATTTTATATTTTAGTTGTATTTTATTGAAATTGTTGTGTGTGGCTGCGGCTAGGTGTCTACTTGAGCAGCCATCTTGGATTTTTCTAAGTGCTTCTATTTTAAAAACATACTTCAGGTATAACATTTTAGTATTTTGTAAGAATGAGGCAGTTTCCTTAATATAAATAAACAAATACAATAGACAAATGATCAATGCTGACAAAGACTTCACTTCTGTCACCCATAGGTGGATCACACTCATCAAAAAATTAGAAAAACTATATTCTCCTGGGTCAGATAGTACCTTTTGGCTTTCATTTTGGCATTACTTCTTCGGGTGTTATGGGCTCAAAACTGGATCTGGTGATTCTAGAGAGAGAGAGTGGTGCTGTGGATGGAGAATGGAAAGAGGTGTTAACTAACTTCAACATATTAGCAGCCCTTCGTAGCAATCACTCTCTCTGTTCCAAAATTATATTTTGGGAGCAGGAACTATTGGTGAGAATGGATACTATTGTGCTGTTATGGAGGATTTTTTAAAAATGTATTTTATTTTTTTATTTCAGAAAAGAAGGGAGAGAGAGAGAGAGAGAAACATCAATGATAAGAGAGAATCATTGATTGGCTGCCTCCTGCACACCTCCCATCAGGAATCAAGCCTGTTAACCAGGAATGTGCCCTAACCAGGAATCAAACCATGATTTCCTAGTTTATAGATCAGCACTCAGCCACCGAACCACACCAGCCGGGCATTAATGGAGGATTTTAAGTAGAGAGCCTCCTAGTCTTGGAAGTCTATTTTTAAAAACAATATTATTCACTATTGAAATGTTTCACAACCTATTTTTTTAAAATGTGTTCTTATTGATTCCTTTTTTTTAGAGAGAGAGAAGAAAGGAGAGGGAGAGAGAGATAGAAACATCGATGAGAAACATTGATTGGCTGCCTTCTGCACTTCCCCTACTGGGGATTGAGCCCACAACCTGGGCATGTGCCCTGACTGGGAATCGAACCAGTGATCTCCTGGTTCATGAGCCGAAGCTCAACCCTGAGCCACACCAGCCAGGCTGGTCTTAGAAGTCTTCATAATCACCAATCTACCTGTTGACTAGTCCTATATTTAAGGTGTGGGACATCAAAAACATTCTTTGACTGAAATATCCCCTCTCTTGGTCCTGAGAGACCAACACATATTATTAGAAATTACTTGTTTTTTGTTTTGTTTGCTTGTTTTAGTATGGCCTTTTATATATCCCTAAGTTCATCTGAGAATAGGAAATTAGATATTTTGCATACATTATAAGGGGTAATTTATCTTGCCTGTGTTTTTGAAGAGCTGCTTACAAACTCATATAAAAAGATGGTCACTTATCTGTACTCATATAATTCTAAGAAATGTTATAGTATCTGTCCTTGGTAGCTGAGTGTGTTCTGTGTTGGTTGCTGGAAAGAAAAAAAGAAACAGATTGGTGGTCTATTCTTTTCATGGTAGATGTGTTTGGTTTAGAAAAGAGTACTGGACATAATTGAAAAGGAAAGACATTTATATTCCTTGTCCCCTTACTCAATTTTCACCTGAGTAAGGTAACAGGTATGTTTTCTTACTTGTTTTCTTGTAGTCCACTACCGTGGCATGCTAGGTACTGTGACCTTGTAGTCTTCTTCAGAGTAGCACTTAAAAGTTGGAAATATGAACCTTCTGCGGCAGGGCTAATAAGAGTTGTCCTCCAAGACTAGGAAGGAGCTAAAAGAAACATAAGTCCAGTCTGGGGGGAAAAAATCACACTTGGATACAAACAAAGGGGTAAGTGAAAGGCAAAATATAAAATAGAGCATTTCAGTGTGTACCCACTTGAGAATGCTCACTGTGCTAGAGTGAAACCTGAGAGTTACTAAGAATAACTTCACATATCCAGGCAGTCACTTCTGGTGTATGGGAGAGAGAACAGAATCTTGATTCAGATGCTGTATTCCCTGCTTTGGATATAGAGCGGCACTATCCAGTTTGCCTTATTCTTCAGATGATTTAGTCTCATTCCTCACCTTCACTGGGGAGCTTTTGGAGTCATAGAGGATACTGCAGAACTTGGAAAGGATACTTTTATTAGATTGGATTATAGCTTAGAGGCACCCAGCTCCCAGAAGAGTAGGACCTAATCCATTTCCCTTAAGTAAGTGATTTTTTTTAAGTTTTATTTTTCTTATTTTTTTAAAAATATGCTTTTATTTATTTCAGAGAGGAAGGGAAAGGGGGAGAGAGAAGCATCAGTGATGAGAGAGAATCATTAATTGGCTACCTCCTGCACGCCGGGGATCCCCCCCCGCCCCCTCCCCAGGATTGAGCCCACAACCCAGTCATATGTCCAGAATTGAACCCAGGACCCTTTAGTCTGCAGGCCAATATTCTATCCACTGAGCCAAACCAGCTAGGACTGATTTTATTTTTAATTCAATTTTTCAGCTTTGTTGACTGGCAAGATTTTCTATTAAAATACAAGGGATAGAGTTTAAATGGAAAGTGAAGCCAGTGTTACCTTTTGTTGGTTTACCTTGTGAATAGCATTTGAGAACCTAGAACACACATCTCTTAATTAAACTGTTGTGTCTTTTTGCCTGATATTTGTGATGATAATGTCTTTCTCCTTGGTCTCAGGATAGGCAGAGTACATCAGACATAGCAGCTCAACTCAACCTAGCTTGCTGCTTTGATTTTGACTTATGGAAGACTATTCTCTCCACAGATTTTTGCAGCTCAAGTAGCAGTCCGTCTTTCCAGCCCATCAAAAGCCATGTGACCATTCCAACAGCCCATGTGATGCCTTCCACTTTGGGGACCTCTCCTGCCAAGCCAAATTCTACACCTGCCAGACCCTCTTCCTCCAAAATCCCTTTGTCAGGATTGGCTGAAAGTGTGGGGATGACAAGAAATGGAGACCTCGGTGGAATGAAACATTCTCCAGGCTTATCTAGAGATTTCATGTATCATTGTGGTACTGCTGGAGAAAATGGAATTGAGCGATCTTGGTTTCCAGCAGTGGGCCATGAAAGAGAAGAGGAGATGAGGAAGTTTGATATTCCCAGCATGGAGTCTACCCTTAATCAGTCGGCAGTGATGGAGACACTTTATTCAGATCCTCGTTATAGAGTCCACTTCCACAACCTAAGAACCGACCCAAACAAGGAGTTATACAAAGGGTTGCCTGAGACCAAGAAGATACCAGACAGTGGTGTGGTATGTGAGCGGAATGGACTACATCCTAGCAGCAGTGGATTGCTCCCTTTGGGGCTCCAGCCTGCTCCTGGACTCTCCAAGCCTCTATCCTCTCCAGTGTGGCAGCCAAATTCTGACCCTTGGAATCCCCGAGAGCGGTCTTGTGAGCTCAGCACTTGCCGGCAGCATCTGGAATTGATTCGTTTACAGATGGAACAAATGCAGGTAAGTAGAGGTGCTTCTTTCCTTGGATTTCGGGGTTTGGTACAGATCTTTGAACTTGTGTAGGTTGTGTCTTCTAAGTTTTGTTTATAAAGAAAACATTTGTAAGTAAGAGGGGAAATGTTTATAGATAGGAAACAAAGGCTTGTGGATGCCATTGAATTTGTTGGTGGTCTAATTAAACACCAGATGGGTTCTCCAAAGTAAAGGGTTAAAGGAGAAGACCCAAAAAAAGTCACTAGGCTAGATACTTTTACACACAGAATCTTACTTGATTCTTATAACGTCTTGATGAGATATATGTAGAAATTTACCATATTCTTAGACTAAGTAATTTGCCCAGTGTCACAAAGCTGGTTATGTGACAGAGCTAGGGTTTAAAAGTCTTTGAATCCCTATGCTTTTTCCACTATACCAGTTTTGTGTTTTTTAAGAAGTCCATATGCTACTTAAGTGTGGGAAAGAAAGAAGCTGAACATATTCTTTTTTCATAGTTTTTGGGGATATCTTAGCTCTTGGTTTGCTTCTGTTGCCAGATAATGAAAGATAACTGACCTTTTCTTAGAAACTAGAGCCTTTCTGAGCTGTGTCCAGTTGGCTGAAATCTCCCTGGCAGGTTCTTTCCAGTCATGCATCAGAGCTAAAATTATTTCATAAACACTGGGCCTTCTTGGTCTGAGCCAAAATGAGCCTTGACTACAGACCCAGGATACGGCTCAGGTGTTTTCAGGTGCCTGTGAGTCAGGATCAAGCCCCTTTGGACCTGCTTGTCTTTCAGCTTCAGAATGGAGCCACCTGCCACCATCCTGCTGCATTTGCTTCTTCACTGCCCATGTTAGAACCTGCTCAGTTGGTCAGCATCTTGAACAGTAATGAACACCTACTAAAGGAAAAGGAACTCCTCATTGACAAGTAAGAGAGCAAAGGGTGCCTACCATAGGCCAGCTTCTGTTCTCTCAGCCCCACTGAGGACACTTAATGAATTCTCAAGGGAAGCACATTCCCCCTCTGTTTATGTTCACTCCTTGCCTCATGGTAGAGCGAGGTTGATGAGCAGCCTAGTCCTCTAGCTGACTAATGTGATAGACTAATTGTGTATCTGCAGGGCCTCTGGGAGTGCCTAAAGTAGGCAGCTGATCTTTCTTCATTTCCCCTCATTTGTTCCTCCTCTAGCAAAACAGTACTGCCCAGAATCCAAGGTCCTTGCTTATATAGTATCGATTATACCCATCTAAGGAAAGTGGGGGCTTATGTTTGCAAGTTGGTTAGAATCCTGGACCTATTCTTCTGGCTTTTGCAGACAGAGAAAACACATCTCTCAGCTGGAGCAGAAAGTGCGAGAGAGTGAACTGCAAGTCCACAGTGCCCTTTTGGGCCGCCCTGCCCCCTTTGGGGATGTCTGCTTGCTGAGGCTGCAGGTAAGCATTGGCAATTAGGTTGGCATTCTGCTTGTATCTTAATTATGCTTGGCACTATTAGGTATCCAGGAAATAAAAAAGAAACCAAGTGATATAAGGTGTCCCTTCCCTCAAAGAGTAATAAACATCCTAATATAAAGCATCTCTTGTCCTGCCCATGTGGGAGTAAAATCAGGTGGAAGTCCAAATGCTTTGGTGTCAGGATACACTTGGGAGAAAAGGAAGGTAGCACAAGGTACATCGTAAGGTCCTAGAGTCAGATGATGTTCTGAGAAGTCTTAATCTACCAGCCCTGGCCAATGGAAGGAGAGGCAGATGTAACAGTGTATTTAGAGCCATTTTAATTTTTATCTTCCATGTGTAGGAGCAACTAAAGTTTGAAACCATATTCTTGCTGAGGTCAATGGCTCTAGAAGAAGCCAGCTTTGTTGGCCAAGCTTCTCTGCAATTTGGGCTTTTGAGTGATGGATATAGAGAGATTATAGTACTGGTTTTGCTACCTAGTTGGGACTGTTCCATCTTATAGAATCAAATCTATATCTATCTATCTATCTATCTATCTATCTATCTATCTATCTATCTATAATTCTAAGTGACCGTTACTGCCAAACAGCTGGGATGACCTGTTGACCAGTTGCTATGAAAGGGAAGGAGGAGGAGGAAGGTGGGGAACAGCGCAGTGGTGGGGTGCTGACATGGCGTTGGTGTCCAGCGTCCATTCCTCCCACACCTGGCCTGGTGACCATGGCCTCCTCTCTTGACCCTGCTGGGACCTTTGGGCCCCGGGCTGGGATAGGGAACTGGGGGTAGGTGGTGGTGGACGCAGCCCCTTTCCCAGGGGTCCAAGGGCCGGCTTCCTCCTTGGGGGCCGGCGGCCACCCTCCCTCAGTCCCACATTCCCATCCTTTCCCCCAGCTGGCAGGCCTTGATCAGCCTGGCCCCAATTGGCCCTGGTGGCTAGCCAGGTTTAGTGACTCCACCCGTGCATGAATTCCAGGCCTCTAGTTAGATAAAATCTAGTTCAGTTCTCTAATTTACTGATGAAAAAATTTGAGGTCCAAGAAGGTGGAAGATCCTTTAGAGAAAGAGTGCAGGACAATCAGGCCTTCAGCCTTTGAGTTGAGGTCTTCTGATATCTTTCCTGTGTTCCTTCTGTTATATTATAACTCCTCAGGTATTGCCTTACAGCAGTGATTCTGAAATGTGAATGTGCATCAGAATCACCTGGAGTGCTTTTTTATTTATTTTATTTTTTTATAATACATTTTTTAAATTTATATTTTATCGATTTTTTTACAGAGAGGAAAGGAGAGAGATAGAGAGCTAGAAACGTTGATGAGAGAGAAACATCTACCAGCTGCCTCTTGCACAATGCCTACCGGGGATGTGCCTGCAACCAACGTACATGCCCTTGACCGGAATCGAACCTGGGTCCTTTCAGTCCGCAGACCGAGGCTCTATCCACTGAGCCAAACCAGTTTCGGCTGGAGTGCTTTTTTAAAAATATTTTTTAAATTGATCTTCAGAAAGACAGGCGGAGAAACATTATGTGAGAGGGATATATAGATCCGCTGCCTCCTGAATATCTCCTCCTGGGGATTGAGCCCACCACTCGGGTGTGTGTCCTGACCAGTAATCTAACTGGCAACCTTTTGGTGCACGGGGCAACACCCAACCACTGAGCCACTCCAGCCAGGAACCTGGAGGGCTTTTTAAAACACAGATTAAGACCCAACCCCAGAGTTTCTGATTCAGTGGGTCGGAGAATGGGGCTCAAGAATTTGCTTTTCTAACAAATTCCCAGGTGATACTGATGCTGTTAGTCCTAGGATCACATTTTGAGAAGCACTGCTTGAAATTTTCAGAGAAAGATAATATTTAACCATGAAGTCTGCTGGAATAAGTAAATTACATGGGACTGTATGAGTAAGGAATAGATATATTGAGAATCTTTCTGCAGGAATTGCAACGAGAGAACACCTTCTTACGTGCGCAGTTTGCGCAGAAGACAGAAGCCTTGAACAAGGAAAAGATCGAGCTTGAAAGGAAACTTTCTGCTTCGGAAGTTGAAGTCCAACTCATCAGAGAGTCTCTCAGAGTGGCGTTGCAGAAGCATTCAGAGGAGGGGAAGAAACAGGAAGATAGGGTGAGCTAAGGAGCTAATAGCTCTCTAATTCATTAAGGAGTTGACAGTCAGCCTTCTCCTGTCAAACTCTAAGTTGTTTCTTGGAACCAGGGGAGCCAATTGGGTCAGACCCTGCATTGTTTTCTCATGCAGAACTGGTCTGCTAGAAATGGAACTCCTTTCCGTTTCATCTCCACAAAGCTACCACAGTGTAAGCCCTCACTGCCTCAGGTTGTGATGGGCCACCAGGTGACCTGGGTGGAAATCCAGCCTGAGCAGTCATACCAGATGCTACTATTGCATGATGTTTAAATACCTATGGTAAATTTGCACCATTCAGCCTGGTTTCTCTTCACTCTACCTAAAAAGGAGAATAATTCCATGTGTGCAGCCAGCTTGGGAGTTTTTACATTTTTGCCATTGCTCTTAGAATTATCTTTGAGTGAGCTTGATTGTCATAGAAGGAGCTGATTGTAAATCTTTTTCTTTTATTTTTTTAAGAGAGAGTAGAAGGGAAGGGGAGAGAGAGAAACATTGATGTAGAGAAACACAATGATTGGTTGCCTCCCACACGGGCCGGAGAACCAACCCAGGTATTTGCCCTTGACCAGGAATCGAGCCCACGATCTCTGGTGCATGGCCTGCTCTCTAACCACTGGGAACACAGCCTGGGCTGATGTAAAATTTTTTGGTTCTATTCACAGCTTTCTCTAATGCAGATGTTCTAGCAGTAGGGGCAGTTTAGTAATGTTTAGTTCTGGACCATCTACATTAAAACCAACTAGAACAGTTGCTTAATCTTTAAACTTTTATGTGCTTAAGAGTCACTTAGGGTAAGCTTAGAGTTGACTCACGTATAGGGCTAGTTTTAATGTTAAGTTTAGATTAAAGTTAAGTATAGTTTAGGTTTAGGGTTAGCTTGGGCTAGGTTTAGGGTTATGGCTGAGGGTAGGTATAGGGTTAAGTTCTGTTAGGGATAGGGTAAGATTTAGGGTAAAGGTTTGGTATAGGTTGAAGCTTGGTATAGAGATAGGGTTAGTGTTAAGGTTGGATTTCAGTTTGAGTTTAGGTGTAAGGTTAGTGTTAGGATTAAGTTTAGGATTGAGATTATAGGTATATTGGTAGAGTTAGTGTTAGAATTAGATTAAGGACAAAGTTAAGATACAGGTTTAGGGCTATGATTTATATTAGGGTTAAGAGAGGGTTAGGTATAATATTGTTATGGACTAAAGTTAGTTATGAAAGTTTGAGGTTAGGTATAACATTAGGTTTTGAGTTAGAATTAGGGTTGAGGTTGGTACAGAGTTAGGGTTAGATATAGTATTAGGGTTGAAGTTGGTTTAGGGACAGGGTTAGGGTTGAGGATAGTATAGAGTTATGTTTGTGGTTAAAATTAGTGATAGAGAGTTGAGTTAGGTCTAGAATTAGTGTTAGGATTAGTGTTGGTAGGTATAGGTTTGGATTGGGATTTTGGTTAGGGTTAGAGTTATGAAGATTTTATAGTGTTGGGATTAGGTTAGGATTAAGTGTAAGATTAGGTACATTGTTAGCATTAGTGTTATGGTTAGGGTGAAGTTTAGGTATGGAGTTACTGTTAGGATTAGGTTTAGGATCACAGTGTTAGTGTAAAGTTTGGGTTAGGGTTGAGGTTAAACATCAGGTTAACTTTTGTGTTAGGTTTAGGGTTAGTGTTGAGGTTAGCTATAGTGGGTAGGGTTGGGTTTAGAGTTAGGGATAGGGTTGAGTTTTGGTGTAGGGTTAGAGATGAGTTTAGGTATAAGGTTAGGATTTCACTTGGTGAGAGATGTTAGAGAGTTTTTGGGTTAGGGTTTAGTATTAGGGTTATTAAGAGGGTTAGGTATACCCAAACTGGTTTGGCTCAGTGGATAGAGTATCAGCCTGCGGACTGAAAGGTCTCAGGTTCAATTCCGGTCAAGGGCTTGTACCTTGGTTACGGGGGCACATCCCCAGTAGGGGGTGTGCAAGAGATAGCTGATTGATGTTTCTTGTCAATATTTCTAACTCTCTATCCCTATCTTTTTCTCTCTGTAAAAAAAAATAAATATATATAATTAAAAAAAAAAAAAAAGAGGGTTAGGTATGTTTAGTGTTAGGGTTAGGTTTAAGTTGGGCTTAGGTATATAGTTAGGGTTAAGAGTAAGGTTAAACTTAGTTTCGGTTAGGGGTAGGAAAAGTAAAAAGATTTACTTGACCCTAGCCAATTTGGCTTAGTGGATAGAGCATTGGCCTGCAGACTGAAGGGTCCCAGCGCACATACTCAGATTGTGGGCTTGATCCCCAGTAAGTGGCATGCAGGAGGCAGCCGGTCAATGATTTTCTCTCATCAATGATATTTCTATCTTTCCCTCTCCCTTCCTCTCTCTGAAATCAATAAAAAATATATTTTTAAAAAATTACTTGGCAATCTTGTTTAAAATGCAAATCCAGCTTCAGTAGTTCTGGGAGGGGAAGAGGCCTGAGAGCCTACATTTTAGCAAGCTCCCAGGTGATATTGGTGCCTCTGGTACAACAAGGACTTTGAGAGGCTTGTTATAAAAGAAAGTTAGCTGGGCCAGCGTGGCTCAGTGGTTGAGCATCGACCTATGAACCACGAGGTCACGGTTCAGTTCCTGCTCAGGGCACATGCCCAGGTTGTGGGCTTGATCCCCAATGGGGGTCATGCAGGAGGCAGTCAATGATTCATCATTAATGTTTCTCTCCCTCCTTCTCCTAAGCTCTCTGAAATAAATAAAAATATATTTAAAAGAAAGAAACTTTTAATCTAAATAATACATATATCTAAGGTAAATAATCAAATACCAATAAGTTTATAATAAAAGTAGTTCTATGCCTAGTCCACTCCATAAAAGTATTCATCTTCAACTCTTCTCTTTCTCTTGTTATATACCTTTACATATATGAATAGTGTTCTTTTTTTGTTATTTTGCTGTATTTATTTACTTAAAAAATATTTTTAATGTATTTTATTGATTTTTCACAGAGAGGAAGAGAGAGTGATAGAGAGTTAGAAACACTGATCAGCTGCCTCTTGCACACCCCCTACTAGGGATTTGCCCACAACCAATGTTCATGCCCTTGACCGGAATCGAACCTGGATCTTCCAGTCCGCAGGCCAATGCTCTATCCACTGAGCAAAACCGGTATCGGCTAAAAAAATTTTTTATTGATTTCCGAGAGAAAGGGAGAGAGAGATATTGATAGAAACATCAATGGTGAGAACATTGATCGGCTGCCTTTTGTATGCCCCCTACTGGGGATTAAGCCCACAACCCAGGAATGTGCTCTTGACTGGAGTCGAACCTGGGACCCTTCAGTCTGTAGACCGACGCTCTATCCAAACCAACTAGGACTTATGCTGTTTTTATTTCATGGATGCAGTTAACTTATTTTTTTGATTATATTGTTATACCTTTTGGGATATCTGCACCTACTTATAGTGTTTCTTGTTTTCTTCAGGGCTTTTTATTTTGTTTGGTGGCTTTCATGTTAGAGTCTTGGCGATCCTTGAATAAATGGATATTCATATTTAAAAAGGAAGTATTGAAAAGGTAGATGGAAGCTCTGGGTTCATGGTAGTTGCCTGGTAGAGTTGTCTATAGTATGTTCAGACTTAAACTGTCGTTTCTCTTGTGAACCTTCACATATAAGTGTCTGCATGTCTTTCTCTAGAAAAGAATCTTCAGCCTGTTCCATGGGACAGCTGGGAGCAGGAATGGTTTTAGCCATTAGGTTCTTGACACTGAGAACAAGATTAGGTTTAGAGTCCCACAGTTCTGTACATTGATTTTTACTTATACTTATTTTCAACTTCACTCTTTGCCTGCTGTGATTGATATTTCTGAGTCTGGAATCTCTCATTTAATTTTTCTAGAGATTAAATCTCTGTTCTCCTCTTGGGAAAACCTAGGATGAGGATGGTATCCAGCTAAATTGTATATAGACTTGCAGTAAATCCCTATTTTTCAGATCTGTGACTGAAACCTGCCTTAGGAGTACCTGGTGCTTTCAGTACAGAGGCCATTGGGAGTTGTGAAGAGCACATTGTTTTCTAAATTTTAATTCCCGCTACAGATTATAACTCCTCTCCAAGTCATTTACCCCTCCACCCACTTTAATCTTCTGAAAATATATTCAAATATCTCATATACTTTGTCTCCTCCTCTGTTGACTTTTTTGTTTGTTAGTTTTTATTGATTTATTTAGAGAGGAAGGGAGAGGGAGAAACATCTACCTGAGAAACATTAATCGCTGCCTCCTGCACGCCCCCTACTGGTGATTTGTGCCCTGACCAGGAATCAAACCGGAATGCATGGGACAGTGGCTAGGGCCAGACAAATTATTTATTATGCAGAAGTACTTGGGCAGTTTTTTTAAAACAACCCAGGGAGCTCTTCTTCCTTGTCTTTGATTGGAAAGTTCAGGTGTGTTAACTCTGCATTTTATCCCCTAATCTCAAATGGCAAAATTTGAGCCACTTCCTGCCTTCATTGTAGTAGAAAAATATTTACAGCTCTAAGGACAGAGACAATGGTCAGTTAAAAAAAAAAAAGTTTATATTCAGGTTCTTGGAGGAGTCAATGGAGGACAGATTCTAGACATTTCTTTCCCTAGGTCAAGGGTCGTGATAAACATATCAATAATTTGAAAAAGAAATGTCAGAAGGAATCCGAGCAGAACCGGGAGAAGCAGCAGCGTATTGAAACCTTGGAGCGCTACCTGGCTGACCTGCCCACCCTGGAAGACCATCAGAAGCAGAGCCAGCAGGTAGCAGCAATATCTGGGCATACCTGGGCAAGCAGGGAGTGGCCAAGCCAGGTGGACTTTCTCCGCCTCTGCTGTATGCAATTACCCCATGGTTTTCTGAAAGGAAAATCCCCAGTCATGTCAGGACACAACTGGAGTAGAAGTTTTAAAAGACCCAGACAGTCTCTTTTAGTTTGTTGACCTAAGCATGAAATCCTGTCTCTCAGCTTAAGGATTCTGAGTTGAAGATCACAGAGCTGCAGGAGAGAGTGACTGAGTTGGAGAATTTGCTGGAGGAGACCCAGGCAGCCTGCAGAAAGAAGGAGATTCAACTGGAAAATCTGAGACAGACAAAAGCAGAATTTCCCACTGGACATAGGTAAAGATCCCTATGAGGTTGAGGAAGTGGGGAGCTAGATTCTGGTCCTGGCTACTCCATATTACTTGTGTGACTGCTCTGATCTCTACTTCTCTGAGCTTCGTTTTGTTTGGATTGTGAATAATAGAAAAACGATCTATGCCTTTGAGATGGAATATGGGGCACATAATGGTGTAGTGGGAACTTGTCATTTTATCCTTTAGAAGGTCCAATCAGTGCCTGCCATAATAATCCTAGATAATAATCCTAAGTATTTGTGTTGAATGAATGAAAGCACTTTATAAACTGGGAAATAAGTTGTCTGTATATTTATAAAAGTAGATCCTGGTGCTGAGAACTGGGAGTTATCCACATTTTGAACCTTTTAAGCTAAAGACTACTAGCAGGATCTGTTTCTCCTCCACACTAGGGATTGCTCTTGATTGCCACAACAGGTTCTGAGAACCAAACAAAATACCATAATATACTCTCAGGGTATCTTGGGAGCCCCCTTCATATTCATAGCAGTTTCTGAAAACGTAATGGCTGTGTTTCAACAGCTTCTTGGACCAAATTGAGTTTCTAATGGGATGAATTGGATTTTTCATCCCAATATACCACAGTGAGCCTGTTGTTTATCTTAGCAGATGGGCCAGGATGAAAGTGATTGTGAGGATCCTTTGGAGGAGATCATTGTTTGGAGTCATAAGTGAAGTTAGGGGACAAAGTTGATTCTGCCCCAAACTATGTATACCAAGAAAAAGGGAGATTTTTTGTGTTTTCCAAAGTTCTCAGTATACATGTATGACTTTTATCATCTAAATACATGTGGTGAATGTATATTTTTAGATATCAAAACAAAGAATAAAGGCCTTGGGCGGGTGGCCATTGTTTAGATATTGGCTTCTAAGAAAGAGAATCATATAGACTAAGTAGTTTCAGTGTGGCACACCTTCCATTACAACAGACCTAATGTATCCTCAGCTGTGGCTCAGAAGGGCCTAAGTGTTTTGTCCCAAACATACTAGCAGATCAGGAGTCACAGCCACATCTCTCTGACTTCAGACTTCTTAAAGAGGCCACTGTCTTTCAGCCTGCAAGATAAGCAGTGTGTGGAGGCCAGTGGAGAAGGTGCAGCCCAACAGCAAGAAGGTCCAAAAGTGGAAATGGAGTCCTGGCAGAAGGAATGTGATTCTCTCAGAAAGGTGACTGGGGGTATCCAGGCTGTAACGGGTGGTAGGCTAAGAGGAAAGAGAAATATGTATATTGGAAAGGAACCATGAATTTCTGGCCCTGGGCCATCTATGTTACCCAGAGCTTTTCCCTCTTTTCCGAGAAGTCACTCCTGCATGATAAGTTTGCATTTTAGGTTATTCATCCTTATGACAGGTAAGAAAGTGATGGGAGGACATGCCTCTGAACATTCAGACTGAATGCTCCAAAATGATAAACTTCACTCCTTGCTCCAGCCCTCTACAGAATCTCTGGCACTGGACAGAGGTCTAACCACTGATGTGGCCCTAATTCAGTAGAGAAGGAGCAGTCCAGGGCCTGTTGTTGAGACTGATCATAAATCAGCAAAAAAGACCCAGAAATAGTTCAGAGAATACCTGAGGTTTCAAAGAACAGGAAACTGGGCCTGTTCAGGTCCTCTCCTTCAACATTTAGTGTGAGAAGGCTATAAGTAACAAACATCACAGCCCTGGATAAGGCAGGTTTTGTTCAACTGAATTTTTAGTCATGTCCTTGATCAAAGAACAAGAATGTATGCTTGCTATATATAAAGTTAATTCCACTGGACTACCATCATCAGGGTGAGGTTGTCTCTCACCCCCAGGAGTAATAAGTCCACACTCATTTGTGTGTGTGTGATTAGAGCACAGGAGTGTGAAGTTGGTTAGGATAAGGAATCTGGGTTATATTTCTGTAGGTTGTGTTAACTTGTCTTCATCCTGATCTCACTATTGACTGGCTGGCTGTAGCCAGTAGGGCTAATAGCCAGACCACAGATCCTAGTGTAGCCTCTTGCCCTCTTGCCTCCTACCCCAATATCAACCTGTGCCTATAGCCTTCCTTGGTAACTTTGCCTTTCAGATTGTGGAAAAACAACAGCAGAAAATGGGTCAGTTACACTCCCAAGTACAGGTGAGCTGGAATCCTTGGGATATGGTGGGCGGGACTTAATAATAGAATCTCTAGAATTCAGCCAACACTGTTGTGTTCTCTGCCATACAATTTGTTCAGTGTTAGGAATACAAGAATGAGATCCAGTCAGTGCTCTTAGCCTGCAATCTTGTTGGGAAAGGATTTTAGCACAATACTGTGAGAACAGTGTTCATGTTACTCTAGGGGAGCATAGAAGAGTTGGTTGGGAAGGAGGAGATTAGGGTTTATAGAGGTTATGACCCTTGAGGGAGGAGGAAGAATTAGGCAGGCAGAGAAGTAGAGCTGGAAGGAATGGTATTGGAGCTCCAAATAGAAGGAACAGCACAGGTAGGAACATGGAGGCATGAAACAGCAGGTGCAAGCAGTATGATGTTGTTGAAGTAAGATGGTGAGTGGAGAACTGAGCTATGGGAGGAATTTGTCTCTCCAATTAAGTTAGTTTTTTAAAAAAAAATATATATGTTTTGCCAAAACCGGTTTGGCTCACTGGATAGAATGTCCGCCTGTGGACTGGAAGATCCCAGGTTCAATTCCGGTCAAGGTCATGTACCTTGGTTGCGGGCACATCCCCAGTGGGGGTGTGGGGGGGTGCAGAAGGCAGCTGATCAATGTCTCTCTCCATCGATGTTTCTAACTCTCTATCCTCCCTTCCTCTTTGTAAAAAATCAATAAAAAATATATTTTTTAAAAGGATGCTGTTTTAATATATATATTATTAAAATATAAAAGAGGTTTCACACTAATACAGTGAGAGGAAGGAAGAGGGAGAGATAGAAACAAACAGGGATGAGAGAGAATCATTAATCAGCTGCCTCCTGCATGCCCCCTACTGGTGATGAACCTGCAACCCAGGCATGTGCAGAATTGAACTGACCAGAATTGAACTGTAACTCCTGGTTCATGGATTTGATGCTCAACCACTGAGCCACACTCGCCAAGCTCCTATTTATTTATTTATTTATTTATTTATTTATTATTGATTTCAGGAGGAAGGGAGCAGGAGAGATAGAAACATCAATGATGAGAGAGAATCATTGATCGGCTTTCTCCTGCATGCCCCCTACTGGGGATCGAGCCGCAACCCAGGCATATGCCCTCAGCCAGAATCAAACCTGTGAGCCTTCAGTTCACAGGTGGACGCTCTACCCACTGACCCAAACCAGCCAGGGCAGAGGTCGGCACACTCATTAGTCAACAGAGCCAAATCTCACTAGTACAACGATTGAAGCCAAATTTTTTAAACTTCTTCTAACACCACTTCTTCAAAATAGACTCTCCCAGGCCGTGGTATTTTGTGGAAGAGCCACACTCAAAGGGTCAAAGAGCCGCATGTGGCTCGTGAGCCGCAGTTTGCTGAACACAGAGCTAGGGCAATATATTGATATTAGAGAGATAGGAAGGGAGAAGGATAGAGAGAGAAAAACATGGATTAGCTACCTCCTGCATGCCCCCTACTAGGGTTATCTTGGTTCATGGGTTGATGCATAACCACTGATCCACACCAGCCAGGCAGCTTTTATTTTTTAGGTAGGTGATGGGAATTTTCTTTCTTTTTTTTTTTTTTTTTTAATATATATTTTATTATTATTATTTTTTTTACAAAGAGGAAGGGAGAGAGATAGAGAGTTAGAAACATTGAAGAGAGAGAGTCATTGATCAGCTGCCTCTTGCACACCCCCTACTGGGGATCTGCCCGCAACCAAGGTACATGCCCTTGACTGGAATCAAACCTGGGACCCTTCAGTCCCCAAGCCGATGCTCTATCCATTGAGCCAAACCGGTTTCGGCAAGTGATGGGAATTTTCTAAAGCATTTCATTGGAGTGTTGTGTGGTTAAGTTAGCAATTCGGGCTTTGGTATGAAAAAGATTGCACTTAGGAGAGAGGCAAAGCGGGAGACCAGTGAACTGTTGTGAAAATCCTAGTGAGAGATGATGAAGGAACCTGGCATATGGCATCATTTCTGTGAATTTTAAGAGGCAAAATTGAGAGGAATCAGCAACTGTCAGAATGTAGGGGATTGAAGAATAAGGAAAAATCAAAGAGAACTCTTGGTCTCTATCTTGGGCCAGAGTGGGCATGTCCTTAATTGGGTTCTCTAAGAAATCCTAGGAAAAGCAGGTTCACTCAGGTTCTCTTTGGACTCTAAAAGAGGTTTCACACTAAAGTGGATAAAATGCACTTTCTCTGAGGAGCAACAAAAGCTGCAGTCCCGCCTTTGCCATTATGTGGGTCAGGCGATGCCTATTTATTTTACCTAATTCATATTTCAAGTCCTATTAGAATATAGTCCAACCAAATATAGTTAAAATCTTGGGTTTTTAGTAGAGTTTTAATGGCTCTATGTTTTCTGGAACCCTATGTTCCGCAAATGTTGCAAAAGCTTAACATGTTAAATGGTACATTTAGCCATGGTGAGACTTCTCATGCAAAAGGTGAATTTGCTGGAATTATGTGGATTCAGGATAGTTGCATAGGGTATTTCCTGGTGATGAAATGTTCTCCTAGGAAGTTAGATGTTTTTATTAATACAAATGGAAAAATTCAGATTTTTGCAATATTGTATTTGTTCGAATCAGTTACAGAATTGTAGGGAAATTGGAATGAATAGAATAAGAAGCAGAAGATAATATACTTTCCTCCATCTGGCTACCCTTGCATGCACACACCACACACACATATTACTGTCTAGATTTGGTGTCTGTGGGAGTGTTCTCCTACCCCTTCTCATCTTTGTAAAAGCATTTAAAACAATAATGTGAGGGGCTTGGGCTGTGAGTTCCTTAAAGACTGACATTCTTTTCAGTGTCTCAGTGCATGTCATAGTCATTAGCAAATATTGAATTTAACCTAATGGATGTTCCCTGCCATCAAGAAATTGTTTACCCAGAAGGCGTGGCTCAGACCTATAAAGCAGGAGGTCACAGTTAGATTCCTAGTCAAGGTACATGCCCAGGTGGGGGGAGAGGGCGTGCAGGAGGCAGCCAGTCAATGATTTTATCTCATCATTGACATTTCTATCTCTCTCTCCCTCTCCCTTCCTCTCTTTTTAATCAATAAAAAAATATATTTTTTAAAAAGAAAGTAATGGAGGGAGGAATCATGTGCACCACCAACAAAAGCACTCATGATCTCTGAGGGAGGTATGAGTAGCCAGGTGAATCTGATTTGCACATTGAGTAAAGCTTGGATGGCATGGAGATTTCCTGGGTGACAGGCAGAACAGAAAAGTCTGGGTGAAGGGGAAGAGGAGTGGGCAACAGTATTGAAGCTGAAGCTTTTGGGGATGAAGGCCAGCCAGTTATTCGGTGTGGCTAAAGTGGAGATCATGTGGAGGGTAAAAGAGATACAGCTATGAAAGTAGGTAAGGGCTTGACTGGCCTGGAATGCCCCGCTGAGGAACTAGCCTCTTACTTTGTACATGGTCACTGGCTGTAGGAGGGTTTCAATCAGGGCTGTTCTAACATAATCCCTTAGAGCAGTGTGTAGGCAGGGTAGGGCTTTACTATATAGTCCAGGCCAGATGTGATATGGTCTGAACCAGACTTGTTGCCCCTGGTGTGCTCTCCCATCACTCTTTGCCATGGAATTTAGAGCCTAGAGCAGCAAGTGGCTCAGGAAGAAGGAACCAGCCAAGCCCTGAAAGAGGAGGCCCAGCAGAGGGAGACAGCCTTGCAGCAGCTTCGCACAGCTGTGAAAGAGGTGAGCAGCATCAGCTGGTCCTTCTGGTACTCTCTCTGTGTACCCTTCCCGCCCTACTCCCACATGAGCTCCCATGTTTGAAAGGTGCCTGCTGAGGGTTTTATTTTTTTTGGCAGAGGAATAAGAAGGGACATTGCATCATCTTTTATATTAAAGGTCTTAAGCCTGTCTTAGAGTGGCCATAATTACCCAGAAATGCTTTTTTGTATGCCCCATAAATCTGTGGCTGTAGAAAGACAAAGGGAAGAGTGACTTTCCACAGATTTATGGGGTTGGGAAGGGAAGGGTTCAAGAAGACTGAGGGTTGGCCGAAACCAGTTTGGCTCAGTGTATAGAGCGTTGGCTTGCGGACTGAAAGGTCCCAGGTTCGATTCCGGTCAAGGGCATATACATGGGTTGTGGGCACAGCCCCAGTAAGGGGTGTGCAGGAGGCAGCTGATTGATGTTTCTCTCTCATCAATGTTTCTAACTATCTGTCCCTCTCTCTTCCTGTCTGTGAAAAATCAATAAAATATATTTAAAAAAGGAGTTTGTGGATGAAAGATATTTAAAAAAAAAAAAAAAAAAAAAAAGACTGAGGGTTGATGGTCCTCATGGAGTAAACAGCTATCAACCGGGGGGCAACCAAGATCAATGGCCAAGTACCTAGGAAGGAGTCTGCCATTGCAAGGATTGTCACATGGCTCACTGTGGGTGAAGGGCTGGAATCGGAGGGGGAATTGTTCAGTGTTTTTAAAATAGAATAGAGATAGGGAGGGAAGCAGAGTGGGTAAAGCTGTTCAGGATGAAAGAAGGAAAGAGAGACAGGTAATACGTAACTGGTCTGTGTAGTGAGCCCAACTCCACTGAGGTGAAGGTTCGAAAAGGAAGGATAAATTACAGCACTGTTCTCCAGGTTCCCAGCCTCTCCAGCTCCCCACCCAGTGTCCACTAACTGTCATGTCTTTATTGCTCCTTTTATTTCTCTGACACCCTCTGATCAGACTGGCTGGTGGCCACTTTTATCAGGGTGGCAGGGAGAGATTGAAACCAGTGTCTCCTCAGATTTCACAGTTCACATTAAGCCTTCTCTAATAGCCTGGCTAACAGTGTTGGCTGAGGGACTGGCTTCAGATAGAGTTCCGAGGGGCGGGAGTATCTTCTCTGGTTCCTGACCAGAAACCTGGACGCTGATGACTCGGAGTATTCTAGGGAGTGGTTTCCTCTCCAATTCGGGAGTCCTGTGGGCCTGGCCTGCCTACAGGAGGAAGTAGGCCTGGTATGGAGAAGGAAGTAGGAATGCTAAGTCTATAAGTAGGAATGGGGAGGAAGGACATCACCTGACTCACACCCTTCACATGTTTATCCACCCTCAGGTACAGATACACTGCCTTTCTCTGGGCCAGAGTTAATATTCTTGCCCATCTATCCACTCAGCTTTCAGCACAGAACCAGGACCTGATTGAAAAGAATCTGACGCTCCAGGAACACCTGCGCCAAGCTCAACCAGGGTGCCCATCTTCACCAGACATGGCCCAGCTAGCATTTGAGCTGCACCAGGAATTGGCCAGTTGTCTTCGAGATCTGCAAGCTGTCTGTAGCATTGTGACCCAGAGGGCCCAGGGCCACGACCCCAATCTCTCCTTGCTCCTGGGCATTCACTGTGAGTACTCAGACCAGTCAGGGACCCAGGAGAGGGAAATGGCTTTCATTCTCTTCTCATCCTCATCCACCTTTCCCATCTTTATGATAACGTGGCAACAGGGCTATGGAGGCTTGGTCACTGCCCTCCGAGAGTTTGTGTTTTGTAAAGTAAACGTTCAGAAAATCTATTTTGGAAATAGGCATCTTTGTGGGGAGCGGGTGTTCCTGGGTACGAGACAAGCAAAAAGTGGCCCTTAGGCAGCAAGTTTTCAGCCCACTATCCCAGCTGCTGTTTTAAAGTGCTGTGTCTCAAGACCATGGGCCTTACTCCCTCCACCTGAAAGCTTTCCTTGACTAATATTCTCTCAAAATGCTCTTCTCCCCAGCTGCACAGCACCCTGGGACTCCACTAGATTTACAGAAGCCGGATGTAATCAGGAGGAAACTAGAAGAAGTTCAACAGCTGCGTCATGACATCGAGGATTTAAGGACCACCATGTCAGATAGATATGCCCAGGACATGGGAGAAAACTGTGTCACGCAATGAGGATTGCTGGGCATGGGACAGGTTGTATTCCCCAAGAAAAAATCTGGTGTGCCAAGAGCCCAGTCCAGCAGGCCCTGCCCCGACAATCTCTTGCCTCCTGTTTGCTGCTATTCCCAGAGAGAAGGTGTAGAAGGGAGGTAAGAGCCTGCTCTGGGGCCAGGAGCTGACTAGGGAACTGTGCCTGCCCTGTCACACACTGGCTTTGCCTTGTTGGATTGCATTTGTCCTGCCATCTTGATTCATTCTGTGAGGCTGAGTTACTAATTAACTTTTGCAGGTCACCTGATAAGTCTTCACAGACTATTCCCAGCCCCAGGCTGATGTCAAAGACAAACAGGCTGCTCACTTCCCTTCTCCATCCTTTGGGGTGGATCCACATTCATTCCCACTCCATACCTTGGTCCTGCTGTTGCCCAGAGTTCATTAGAGAGGCCTGGAAAGGCAGAGTAGAGTAACAATGGCCATTTAAGAATCCTCAGGCCCCAGTGCCAGCCTTCCTGGGAGCTGAGCTGGCTTCCTGGGCTTGCTTAGGCCCAGTCCCACCGCTTCTCAGGGCTCTTGTCACAGACACCTCAGGGTGATCTATTTGTTAGCATAGTGCCCACATAATTGGAGGCCAAGGATTATAGCCGGGGCTCTGTCATCTGTGCTATTTTATAGGAGACCCCACTCTGCAGCTGCCCTGTGGCCTTAGCTCCCTTCTTGATTTTTAGCCACCCAGGTAGCCCCCTTGGATTTTGAGTGCAAACTCTTCCCTGTGATTCTGTGTTTAGGCAGGATTTCCCCCAAAACACCACAGGCAACTGTCAAGCTGCTCATCCCCTCACCCTGGGGCTGGAGCCAATGTCCAGCCCTGATTTGTGCCTCTTTGTTGGGGGAGCTCCTGTTAATGCTCTGGGCTCCTTGAGAGTTTGGAGCACCCAGTACAGGTTAGCTTTAAGGTCTAGTTTTCAGTGTTTTCTGTTTTTTTTGTCTGTTTCTCTGGGGCCTCGGAACTCTCTGCTTTCGGTTTTCTCTTGCCTCATTTAAGGAGCATCTATCTCACAGTTGTTTGTATCTGATTACCCAGCTGGGCCCAGGCCCCCTAAGAGCTGGAGCCCAGCCAAGTGGAGGCCATGTGTAGGTATGGGGAACACCGAACAGTTATAGGAGCCTCTAACAGCAACCATGAGATTCTCGCTCAGCTTTGTGCTGCCAGGGCAATATCCTAGACCTCACTCCTGGGTCTGAATGAGACTCAAGTGTTTTTACAAGTTGTGTTTTATTTATGGAGTGACTTATCCCTTCCATTCAGAGCAGCCCCACCCAGCCGTCCCCTTAGCCTCTGGGCTCCTGCCTCCGCTCCTGAAAGCAGAACCGCCTCCTTGGTCTCCACCCTGTGCTGGAAGCCCAGCCACCATGCTCACGGGTATTTTTCCTCATAAAGTTTATAAGCAGTTATTTATATGAATTGTTGTTATGTCAACTGGTTTGTATTGCCTATTTTGATTACAAAATAAAAATTTACAGACTCCTCAGTTTTCCATTGCCTTCCATCACCACGGCCCCTTACTCCACCCCTTATTTTGGCTTGTTGAAGTCAAAGCTGGGAGTTTAGCCAAGTTCCCAGACAGCAAGGAGGGACCGTTGGCAGGCCCAGCCTCGTGTCTGTATCTCTACTTCTCTATTGTTCTACGGGAAAAATTAGATCTCTTCCCACACAACTTTCTGTTGCGCAAAGCTGCTGTGAATCATAGATAAATTTGCCATTGGAAGGGATCAGTGATCCTCAGAGAGGAAGTCAACTGCCACCATGAGGAAGTGGCTTCCCCAGAGGCAGGGTGCTGTTTGCTTCAGGGCGCTAGGATTGCCTTCTGGGGAGACTGCTCAGGGGCAACATGCCCAAGCCCGGGCAGATAGCAGTCTCTAAAGTTGGGTTGGTTGCTGGAGTCCACTCCCTCTGAGCCCCCTGAATTTTTCCTGAAGTAGTGGTCTCAAAGTGCCATCTGCAGCTCCAATTGGGGTTGAGCTGGGTTACCTCAAGATCAAGTGGATCCTTTTTTATTTATTATTATTTTTTAATATTTGTATTGATTTCAGAGAGGAATGGAGAGGGAGAGAGAAAAACATCAGTGATGAGAGAGAATCATGAATCACCTGCCTCCTGCACGCCCCCACTGATGATGGAGCCCACAACCCAGCCGGGTGCTCTTGACAGGAATCAAACCTGGGACCCTTCAGGCTGAAGCTCCATCCACTCAGACAGACGGAGCTCGCTGGGGCAGCTGTGGGTCTTTAACAGGAGTCCTGACACTGACTTTCCAGAACTAGCAGCCTCTTGGCCTCCTTCTGGCTCCCTGAGGGCGTGGCCCTGTCTCCTGCCGCCTCCCTTCCCGGCCTGAACCTGCATGCGTGGAGAGGAACTTTGGGCAAAGCAGGGGCTGTCCCTGCTTGGTGTGCCTCCTGTCCTGGGGGGTTAGCCATATTTGGGTGTCTCCTGGTGGACTTGATGGAAGGGCCCCTGGGAGCCAGGTCCCCTAGCTTGGGAACTTGAGGTTTGAGCACAGGCTTCAAAGTTGAAAGCCCGGAGCCGCGCTGTGCTGTCGTGGCACCGGGGATGGGTGGTTGGGTGCGGCAACCCCCGGTGAGGCTGTGGAGGCGGCCTTTGCCGAACCCTCGCCCCTGCCCTCCCGGCCTCCCCAGCCTCACACCGCCCGGATGAGAGAAGGGCCAGTCCGGCGTGGGACTGGGGTCCCGAGCACCCAGCCCCGAGGGGGAGGGGAGGGGACGTGCGCTGAGCCCGCCCCGCCCCGCCCCCGCCCGCGCCGCTCATTGGTCCGGAGCCGCTGACTCCCGGGCTGAGCAGGAAGGAAACCGCTCCCGAGCGCCGAGTCTCCCGGCTGTGCAGCTGCAGCCGCCGCCGCCCTCCGCCCTCCGCCGCCCGCCACCGTCCTCCCCAGCATGAGCGGCCTGCGAGTCTACAGCACGTCGGTCACCGGGTCACGCGAAGTGAGTGTTTGCCGGGGGCCCACTCGGGGGGGAGCGGGGGCGCCGGGACCGCCCCCAGGGCGAGGGCGGGGCGGGGGCCGCGAGGCTCCGGCACGGCCTCCTGGGTCCGCTCCCACCTTGAGCTCTCACGGCCCCAACGTGAGAGCCTTCATCGCGCATCCTGGGGCCTCAGCAGCCCCAGCATGAGCTGCCCGCGCCCGTCCTCCGTCACTCGAACGCCCATTCTCTGCACCCTCTTCCGGGCGTCCTCCCTTCTCTCTCACCATGCGTGGATCTGGGCAGGGGTGGTCCCTTCCCAGCCTCTACCCAGGCCTACACTGCCTCCCCACCGCTGAGCTCCTGGCTCTACCCACCCTGAGCTTAATCCCTCTTCCCTGCATTCTGACTTCCCTCTCCATGGTTGGTGGTCCCTCTCCCCCTATACCACCGCGAGCCTGGCTGGTCCTCAAAAGTCCCAGTGGTCAGGACAGGGGGACAGAAGCTCCTCGCCACACTCCCTGTCTGCCCAGGGTTCCTTTCCTCCACCCCAAGTCCTCCAGCTTGCTCATAACCCCCACCCACCTTCTGCCCCCAGATCAAATCCCAGCAGAGCGAAGTAACCCGCATCCTGGATGGGAAGCGCATCCAGTACCAGCTAGTGGACATCTCCCAGGACAACGCCCTACGGGATGAGATGCGAGCCTTGGCGGGCAACCCCAAGGCCACCCCACCCCAGATTGTTAATGGAGACCAGTACTGTGGGGTATGGGCCTGGGGGTAGGGGTTGGGGCGTTATAGATGGCAGAGCCAGACCTGAGACAGCGCCAGCACTCAGGTGACCACCTCTCTCGTTCCTCCCCCAGGACTATGAGCTGTTTGTGGAGGCGGTGGAACAAAACACGCTGCAGGAGTTCCTGAAATTGGCCTGAGCCAAGCCCAAGGCGGCCAACTGCATTCCCTCCCCGCATTCCCCAGCCCCCAGCCATTGTGGGCCATGAAGGACCTTGTGACCAACTCCCTGTCATTCCTAACCTCTGACCTTGGAGCCCTGTCCCCCAACCCAAACCCTCCCCCTCCCTTTAACTGTAGCCCCCTCTCCGCATTCAGAGGCAGCATTCCTGACCCAGCAGTCTCAGAAATTGTCTTAAGCAACAGCCCAAGTGCTGGCTGTCTCCACCTGGCCCTGAGACTGCCACCCTGCCTGGCACTGGCTAATGGGCATCTTGGTTGGTTCCATTAGCCTGGGCTCTGCCAAAGGCCCCGCAATCCCCAACCTGGGAGCACCCTAGAGACAATTAAATGCCCCGTTCCATTGGTGCCTTGTCTGTTTGGTGTTGCCTAGACATCCTGAGTTCCTGCTCCGGTGGGTGTGAGGCGGCTGAGGCTGTGCTGCTGAGGGCAGGGCAGGTCGGTTGAGCTGTACCCTCGTGTGGCACTTGTGTGTGATAATGCATGTGTTTGGAAACGTGTCCAACACACACATACCTGTGTGGACCAATGGTTTCTGGAAACTGGGTGGGGCCCCTTCCAGCTCATATGCATGTGATGGCCCGTGACACACCTGTGTCTTGATGTGTACCGCACATTTGCATGTCTGTCAATAATGTGGCTGGACCGTGTGGCTGTCTGCCTGTGTTCCAGCAGGTTGGCTTAGTGTGGGTGTGTCATGGGAACGGGTACACAGCTGTAGTTCGGCCAGTTTGGGGGCCGTGCTTTGTGTATAGTGTTGCAGTGTCCCCACCTGCTTGTGGTTCTGTGCGTATCTGTGTACAGGGATCTGCCGGCTGCCCCAGCTGGGCCCGCCTTCCCTTCGCTGGATCCGCTTAACCCTTCTGTGGAGAAAGAGGAACCTAGAGGACAAAGACCCAGCCGCCAGGCCTGCCAGCTGGGGCTCAAGTTACCGAGAGGGCAGTCGGCGCCGCCCCCTCCCCGGCCCAGCTGGGCCCCAGCTTTCCCTGGCGCCTGGCGGGGCTGCCCCGCAGGCAGAGGAGCCTCAGGAAGCAGCTGGTGTTGGGGCGGGCGCTTTATTTGGGTTGGGAGCCGTGTTGGGGTCCATTGGCAGGCGGCGGCGGCGGGGCCCGGCTCGGCCGCAGTAGCAGATTTGCGTTGGGCACCAGTCCGGCCTCCTGCAGCGTGAGCTGATCCTCGTGGTAGACTTTGGGCGGGAACGCACTGAAGATCTCAAAGGCGTTTGGGTCCATGCCCCTGCGGACCGGGCAGAATACATCAGGCCAGGTCGTGGGTCCTGGGACCGGAGGCCCACTGCATCCTCTCCCGGCCCTGCACCCACCTGGCCTCCGCTAGCAGGGCTCTCACACCCCCGATGGTGTCCTCAGGCTGCATCATTAGCAGGAAGGCCTGCTGGCCGTTCTCAGACTTGATGCGCAGCATGGAGAACGGGGGCACAGGCGACTCAGGATACTCCTGGCTCCTGCGGGCCCAAAGGCCTTCAGTGCCCCACAGCCCAACCCCCAGGTTCTCCCCTCCCCTCTGCCCTCACCTCTCACGCTCGGCAGCCAAGGCAGGCGTCTCCACCACGATCTCCTGGACCGGTTGAGGCCACGGGCAGCAGATCTGGAAGGCATCGGTGGAGTGGACAGAGCCCTGAGTCCTGCCAGTCACACCCCTCTCCCCCACCCTTAGAGGGGACTTGTTCGTGACGGGGAATTCATTAAACCAGTGAGCCTCCGGGAGAGGGGTGTTCTGTGTGAAGGAGAGTGCAGGCAGAGGCGATGGAACGGAAACTTTGGGACGCTGCCCCATCATTCCCACAAGAAGACTTGAGGTCCCTAAGTGTAGTGGAGGGAACAGAACCCCACACTCATGATGACCAGGCTGGATGCTGAGGCCGGTGGGTCAGGGGAGATTTCCCTAGAGGAATGGCTGGAGGAAGAGGAGGAGTCCTACGAGATGGAGAGGGTATTCCAGGCAGCATGGGAAGGTCCCAGGACAGGGAAGACTGAGAGGAGATATTCTGGGGAAGTGTCAGTTTGTGGGACGGAAGCTGGGAATAGGTTGGGCTGGAAGGAAGAAAAGGTTAGGAGTGGGGAGTGGGAGCGGGGGGGGGGGGGGGGGGGGGGCGGAGAGTAAAAAGACAGGACTTAACCCATGTCCCAAGAACCACCAGAGGGTTCAATAAAAAGCCAAGATCCAGTTTACATTTTTAAAAGGAGGCTGGTTAGGGGAGGATGCTTGGCAGGTCAGGAGTGGACGTGGGCGGTGAGACCACTGCAGTTGAGCGGGAGAGGCATTCTGGAGCCCAGACTAAGTCGGGCGGCCGTGGGAATGGAGAGAAGGACGGACCCAGAAGTTCAGATAGGACTTGGCAGTGTGGGGCAAACGAGGTGGAGTCCTGGGAAACAGGTTTGCTGCCTGTCACAGGTGGGGAGGCAGAGGAGGAGGAGCAGTGTGAGGGCCCAGAGGGCTCTCCAGGCTCTTCTGGGCTGGAACTTGAGGGGGCGGCCTAGGCCTTGGGCCCACCTCCGGCCTGGATGCTGACTTTTCCCCTTCTTCCAGCCACCCCCTTGCCAACCCAGCTGCTCTCAGTCCCAGTCCTGAGCCCTCACCACTCGTTTCTAGAAGACAGTGGGACAGATCTGAGACACCCATCTCTCCACCTAGACCCTCCTCAGGGACCCCCAAGGCTGGGCCTCCACACAAACACTGTGGTAGGCGGGGCCAGGGTTGTTGGTAAAGCCCCCAAGAAGATGGGGAGGTGCCCTGGCGGTGTGGCTCCGTTGGGGCGCGTGCTGAAGGCGATGGATTGATGTTTCTCTCCCTCTCTCTAAAATCAACTCATAAAAAACAAAAGGAAATCTTGCCTTTAAAAAAGGGAGAGGGAGACTGGGGGAGCTAGGCTGGCCTCACCTGCAGGGCATCCCGGATGGGGCCCCGGATGTCAATCACCTCGCCTTGACGGATCACTAATTTGGGGAGCCTGCTCAGAAACTTCTCAGGGGTCATCCTGGAACCTGTGGGGAGGGGCAGTGGGAACCTTGTAACAGGGAGGGGCTGTGAGTGACGACGGAGGCGGCCAGCTGGACCTTGTCCTGTCAGCACCCCTGCCACCTGGCTCAGCCTCAGGGCCAGCCTCACCTGTGTGCTCCGTGAGTGGGGCCTTTCGAATCCTCTGCATGCCTGTCACTCGGTCCTCTCCTGGGAATGGGTCCAGCCCATCCTCTGGGTAAACCTGATTGCGCAGGTCACTCACCTGACAAGAAGGATGGGAGACAGCAGCGGCAGGACCAGATCTTCAGTGCTGGCTCCACCTCTACCCCTGCTTGCCCCAGGCCCCGGGAATAGGCCCAAGGGATAGTCTGATGCAACCCCTGGGACAGAGCAAGAGAGTTGTAGTTCATGCTATTGCGTACATGGGCCCTTCCTGCAAGCCCTCACTGGAACCACAGTCCTGTCACCCTCCTCAGAAAGCTCCTTTCGGGAGCCTGCAGGGAGGGGAGGGATGAGGGTGTTAGGAGAGGGCAAAGCTCTTGCTGCCTGTAGTTTGCAGTGCAGACCCCATCACTGCACATCTCGCCTCCCCAGGAAGGCACCTCCTGAGCCTCTGTCTTGACAAGGCCCCCCAACCATGACTCCCACTATTTTCCAAGCCATGGTGGTCCACACTCCCTCACATGCTCTCATTGTGCAACTAACACACCACCCTCTGGGACGTTGCCTCATGTGCCCCAATCACACACCAGCAGGGACCAGCTCCATCTCATGTGCTTTAGCCCCAATATATTCCTCTGCCCTGGCCCTCGCCCCACAATGGCACTACCTTCCATCCCAATCAGATGGCTCCCGGAGCCTCTAGGGGGAGCCCAGCTACTTCTGCACAGACTCCTCAGGGACTCCAGGCAATCAAGTTGTCCCAAATGCTGGAGGAGGGGCGTGGCGGAGGGCTAGGCCTTCAGAGTGCCAGCAGGGGGGGCGCTGCCTGCTGCTCAGCTACAGGTTGTCTTGGCTGCTGCTATGTCAGCTGTTGCCATGGCAGCAGCCCCACTCACTTCCCAGCCCGGCTTCAGGCTCACCTTCCTGAAGCTCATCAGATCGGGTCCCCTGAAGGGGGGCATCTGCTTCAAACCTCAGACTGGGTGATGCCTGAGGAAACTGCTTATCCCCACCACCTCCAACATTCCCACCTAGGGAGTAGCTGACTGGTTTGAGGAGCAGCTCGTCACCTTAAAGGGGACCCCATCAGGGTACAGGCTCTGGAGCTCTGCAGGGAAGGAGCCGTCCAATATGTCTCGGAGGCAGCTCTATAGGGGGAGAGGAAAGGTAAGGACTGGGCCTCAGGCTCATTTAGCAGAGGTGGGATAGGAACTCTGCAAGTTTTGCATAGGACTGGGTACCCATAGGGGTAAACTGGGCCCCGCCATCTCCAACTAAGGATAAGCAGAGTGGGGAGCACAAAGGCCTGTCTTCCCTTCCCCCAGCTCTTACCTGTGTGGAGGGATCATGGAATGGCCGGAAGGGCCCATCAAATACCATTATGCCATTCCGGTACAGCTTCAGTGGGATGGGCTCAAGACCATGGGCCTGTGCTCCTCTGGGCATTGGCTCCACCTGGGTGTCACCGTCTTCCACCAGCTCACCGAGATTCTTCAGGCTGGCCAGCAGCCTGTCATAGTCCACTTCATGGGGCACCAATGAGTCCGCTGCTAGAGGACAGACACCTATGAGCCTCTCTTCTTGACTCCCATGTGCCCTAGCAGCCCTGGCTTCCATGCCCTCTCCCATAATGAGCAGTGGCTTTAACATCTCCTTAAGTGACCACCTGAGGAGGAGGAAGGACAGCTAACACTGGATGATATTAATAGCTATCTTCTATTGAACACATACTTTTTATTATCATTATTGATTTTAGAGAGGAAGGGAGAGGGGGAGAGAGAGAGAAACATCAATGATGAGAATCATTGATTGGCTGCCTCCTACACACCCTACACTGGGGATTGAGCCTGCAACCTGAGCATGTGCCCTGACCAGGAATCAAACCTATGGGTCATAGGTGGACGCGCAACCACTGAGCCATGTCGGCTGGGCTATTGAGTGCATACTTTGTGCTGGGGGTTTAATATCCATTATCCCATTCTCTCTTCCTCCAACCCTGTGCTGTAGGGCTATAATCAGTCCATTTTTCAGATGAAGAAGCTGAGGGCTAGAGAAGATTAATGGCATGCTTAGGGGTGCACAGAGGAAGAGGCAAGAGCAGGATCTGATCTGTGTCAGGTGCTGGGTTAGCAGCCGGATTCCAAGAAGATGACCATGTAAGGGCTAGCTGGGAACAAGCACGCTGTCCACGTTAGCTATTGTTACCTACTCCACCGGCAGAAAACGGATCTCCGGCCAACCCAGAGGCTATGAGGCAGGAGGAAACAGGCCCACAGAGATAAAAAATAAAATAAAATAAAAAATGACTTGCCCCAGGCCCTCAGGCAAGTTAGAGGAGGGGCTGACCCTAGAGTCTGTTTCTCTCACCCACCTGCACTATCGGGAGAAAGGGGTCGCAGGAAGGACAGCTGGCTACTAAGGAAGATGTCCGAACAGCTGCTGGGTGGAACATGTGGGACAGATCTCGGGTGTGCAACTATTTCTGGGTCACAGACCCTCTGAGAAGCCGACAGGAGCTCTGGCCTCCTGTTCTGAAAAACTGTGCTGCGTAGACAGCCGTGCATAAGCTGCAGGGGGTGTAGAAGGGGTGGTGGGACGCCCGGGACAGATGCCAGAGCAGAAGAGGCAGAAGGCAGGGGCCTGTTTTCAGTCCTTCCCCAGGAAGCCATCTACTAGCATGTAATCCTCACCAAACTGTTGGGGCCTTCTTGGAAGCTGTTTTTCACCAGGACAGCCACCCCGCCACAGGATGTGGGTCAGGGCCCTGGAGACCTGATTCCTTTCCCTACAGTACGACAGTGGCTACACCAGGGGAAGTACAGATGTGGGTGGCCATTTCCGGTTGCCTTTGTGCTGCTGAAATAGGAGGCTCCTGCTGTCCTCCCCACCCTACCTCCCCTTTCCTTCTCCACTGCTAGAGGGGCTGCACTGCCCCGGCTCGTCCCGGAGGCCCTGAGGCTCCCGGGGAAAAGTCACAGAACACGGCATCCCTGGTCTGAGCCAGAACCATGTCAGGACACTGTTTCCCTTTAACAACTACTTTCAGAACACAATGGTAAACTTAAAAATAACAACAGAAAAGCTTGGCTTCAAGGTCTGCTCTGGTCCCTGCATTCTTACTGGTGGGGAAAGCGAGGCCTAGAAAGGTGAGGCCAAGCCGACTTGGCCCAAGCAGACCCCGCGAGCGAGCAGGGCCAGGAGGACCGTCAGATCTGCTGCCTGAGAGTCCAGCGCCTCCTGGGGCCAGGGGGCTTTTTCTGGGAGCTGACAGGACATGGGGGGTTTGCAGGGGAAGAGGCAGGCAGAATGCCAAGAAGATATGAGAGAGAGTCCTGCCGGTGTGGCTCAGTAGCTGAGCATCAACCCATGAACCAGGAGGTTATGGTTGGATTCCTAGTCAGGGCACATGCCCAGGTTTTGGGCTGGATCCCCAGTAGGGAGTGTGCAGGAGGCAGCCAATCAATGATTCTCTCTAGAATTAATGTTTCTATCCCTCTCATCATCTCCCTTCCTCAACCTAAAATCAATAAAAACATTTGTAATAATAATAATAATAATTATAATGAGAGGGGGAAAAGTTTGCTGAGAAAATCAGCCCGACAGGTGTCAGCCCGTGGCTGTGAGTGGAGAAGTGAAAGCAGGTGGGCAGGGCGGTGCTGCGTGAAGCACTGCAGGGGAGGCACGGAGGAAGCAGGGCTGAGAGGGTGAGGCAGGAAGAGCCCGTCAGAACCAACCCAAGCAGGCAGAAGCCTGACCCGGTGCAGCCAGGTGACCAGGGATAAGGCGGGTCAGAGGTCAAGTGAGGCATTTCCTCTCTGAGCAGCAGCTTTCCTCTGCATGGGACGGGCAGATAAGAGGAATCCTCATCCTACCCACAAAGTCCAACTGTCTACCGAGATGATAATGACTCGGTGTTTCCCTCACAGCAGGCACCAGGGGCAGGCGTGCCACTCCCGTTCTGCAGACGAGGAAGGCACCATGCCCAGGGCCCTGCAGCTTGCAGGGTCGGGTGTCTCGAAGCCTTTGTTCTCAGTGACCACACGCTGCCTGTCAGTGTGGTTCTTCAGACACTGCTCACTTGGGGTCCCTTTCCAAGGAGAGGTGCAGCAAGGTCATCCCTGAGGCCTCATCCAGCTTCGAGGGCCCGTGGTTTCATTAAAAAGGGGAGTAGGCAGGCATGGAGAGCAAGTCCAAACTCCTGGGCCCAACTCCGGGCACCGTCAGAGCCTGTGCTCCCCGGACTGCGCTCACTATGGTCTCGCTTCATGCTCTGGAGCCCCAGGGCTAGGGCTGCTGCCTCCAAGCTGCGTGGCCCTGGGCAGTGGGCCCACCTCTCTGGGCCTCAGTTTCCTCCTCTGTAAAATGAGAACAATGACAGCCCCGCTGCACGGGTTGTTTGAGGAAGTGCTGGCAGGTGCGGTTGTGTCACTAGCCCCCATCCTCTTGCTCATCGCTGGGCTCGAGCTGCTCTTTCACCACCCACTCTGAGCAGCCTTGCCGGAAGCCCCTTCCCCTGAGGCTGGCCGGCTGGTGCCTCCGGGTTCCTGAAGCCCCTGAGCCACTCCCTGGCCCTGGCCACAGGTGCCACAGGCTGTTGTAATTTGTTTGACTTTCCAACCACACCAAACACTTTTTTTTTTTTTTAATCTTCACCCAAGGGCATGTTTTTACTGATTTGAGAGAGAGGGGGAGAGAAGGAAACACCAATGTGAGAGTGAAACATCAATCAGTTGCCTCTAGCAGGTGCCCTGACTGGGGCTCAAACCTGCAACCAGGATATGTGCCCTGACCAGGAATCGAACCCGTGACCTTTTGGTGTGTAGGAGGACTTTCCAACCAACTGAGCCACACCGGCCAGGGCCCAAACACTTCTTGTACCCAGGCTAGAGCATCCAGCCCTGGGCCTGACCAAGAGGGGCTGCGCAAGCAGCAGCTCAGAGAACATGTTAGGCCCAGAGTCCTGCTCCTCCCTGGGTCCGTACTTGAGTGGAGACAGGGCGCCAGCCAGTGGCGATGGCATTGGTAAGTGCCACTGTCCAAGCTAGAGAGCCCAGAGGAGGGAGGGCAGACCCTGGCGCCATCAGCAGGTGCGCGGTGGGTTCTCCGCACCTTCGCTGGGAGGACCATCGCTGCCATGAAAGACAAGGCGGTGCCCAGCATGTCCCATCTCCACCTCAGACTGGTGAACCGGAAATGGACCCACTATTTCCACAAACCTGCAAGTCACGCCCTGCTCTGGGGACTTTACCCACATTCCCCACTCTGCCAGGGCCACCCCCAAATCGCTGGCCCCCGCTGCTGAGCGTCGCCGTTGCTCCGATCACCCAGACCTGGGCACCTGGGGACCACACACCAATCACATGCATGTGCACATGCCAGGCCCATGGGCAGAGCACGGTGCTGAGCACTCCGGGGCATCGCAAAGCTAAGCAACAACAGCTCATGGTCACTGTCCATGTGCCAAGGGTCAGCCTGCAGAGCACTCCCCACGCACTATGGCAACGATGCTCTCGGTGGCCTAGGCGTCAGTCATTCTACAGACGAGGACTCTAATGCACAGCCCCTTCCCACGAGCCTGGGGGCCACTGCAGCCTGGCACAGAGCAGGCACTCGGCGGCATTTGTTTAAGCTGAGCCTCAGAGGGGATAAGAGGGGACAAGGCACCTCAAGGGAAACAGCTCTGGCCTGAAGGGGAAGTGAGGGTGGGAGGAGAGTAGGCTGCCTGGGGTCTAGGTAAGGCCATTTCCAGGAGCTCAAAGGCTGCCCAAGGACAAGCCAGGCTGCTGCAGCCATGGAGTCTGTGCTGCCTGAGCAGGGGAGGGAGGTTTTGGGAGAAAGGGTGGTAGGCAGAGGAGGTAGCTGGCAGGGGGAGGGAGGATGTAGGAGGGCATGACTGGGTGCGGGGAATGAGCTCAGTGGGGGGTAAGGGTGGGGGCGCTGATCATAGGGGGTTAGGGAAGGGGCGAGGAGCTCAGAGGGGGTCAGGGAAGGGATGGTGAGCTCAGAGTTCATGGAGTTCTCAGCCCTGAGGCTCAATACCTGTTTGACCAGAGCAGGCCTGTCCCTTTCATGTCTCCGAATACCCCGGAGCACCAATACCTGAAGCTCAGGCAAGCATCCATTTGAGGCTCAGTGCTGGTGGGAAGGGTGAATCATCCAGCCCCAGGCCAAGCTCTCCCAAGGCTTCCCCCCTGCTGGGCCCTCTTCCCTGAGGCGAGCCCAGGCCCATAGGACATGGTGTCCAACCTACTGAGGGAGAACAGAGCATCAGAGCCCTCACGAGCCAGCTTTGTGGATCCGAGGGGCCCGGGGGAGGAGCAGGCTGGCATCTGGGGTCCGGGCAGTGGAGGGGAGGGTCGAAGCCAGGAGGGGAATCCAGGAGCAAAAGCTGCTCCTCGGGCAGAAGAGCTGAATGGAGGCAACGACCGTCCACTCTTTGAAGAGAACAGACCCGGCTTTCAGAAACAGTCAGTTCGTTCTACGACCCCAAATCTCTCTAGCTATTAGCAATCGAATTAAAAATAAAAAGTGGTGCCCTGGCCAGTGTGGGTCAGTGGCTGAGCATCGACCATGAACCAAGAGGTCACCGGTTCAATTCCCAGTCCGGGCACATGCCCAGGTCGCCAGCTCAATCCCAGCAGGAAGCAACTGATGGATGTTTCTCATCAATGTTTCTATCTCTCTACCCCTCTCCCTCCTTCTCTAAAATTTGAATTTATACTGGTGTGTATATATATAAAAAATATTTATAAAATAAAAGGGGTTTCCTGGTGGGGTAGCTCATTTGGCTGGAGTGGCATCCCAGCACACCAAGGATTAACCAATGAATGCATAAGTGACACAACAAATCCATGTTTCTCTCTCTCCTTGTCTCTCTCAAATCAATTTAAAAAATAAAAGAGTGGCTGAAACCAGTTCGGCTCAGTGGGTAGAGCATTAGCCTGCAGGCTGACGGGTCCCAGGTTTGATTGCGGTCAAGGGCATGTGCATTGGTTGCAGGTACATCCCTAGTCGGGAGTGTGCAAGAGGCAACTGGTCAATGTTTCTCTCTCATCAATGTTACTGACTCTCTATCCCTCTTCCATCCTCTCTGTAAGAAAATCAATAAGATATGTTTAAAAATAAAAGCGGTGAGTCCCATAGAAGCAGGTCTGGCGTGAATGATTCGGGAAAGACAGCCCAAAGAGCAGGCTGAGCCTGGAACTGAGGGCCAGCGTCCAGCACAGAGAGACGGCTTTTAAAAGCAACAGCTTTCGGATGGATGACCTTTCGTAAACCATGATGCCTGAGGAAAATGAGGTCTCACTGCATCTTATGTCTCTGGGCCTGTGAAAGCTGACCAGGCAGCGTGTGAGGGGAGACCAGAGGAGGAACCGGCTGCAGGTTCGGGTTAGTGATGGGGCCGAGGCCCGTCCCGCCCGTCGGGGTCAGTGGCAGGTGTGGCTGTCCCAGGCATCTGTGCGAGGCAGCGGGGCCGGAGCGAGATGGCCTCTGGCTGCTTCTGGCTGAAAGGAAGCTGCTGGAGAGCTCCCTTTATTGGAGGGGCTGGGTGACCCCCACTCTACCTGGCTTCCAGAACTTCTTGGCTATCATCCACTCCTCGTCATCCTCGGAGCTGCTCGAGTCCTCGTGCTCCCTGGGCTCGCCCACCCACTGCAGACCGTAGTCCCCGAGGAAGCGCTGGGGGGAGAGGGGGCCTGTCAGCTCGGCCCCTTTCGGGGAGAGAGGCGGCTCGGCCCAGTCCCCAGCCTCAGGCCTCTGCTCCCAGAGCCGGCTGGGCAGAGGGGGTGGGCTTGGGGTCTTGGCAACTTTGTCGCTGTAAATTGGGGCCACTTCACCCCCTAGGGCCTCGGGCTCCTCCTTACACAGCGGAGAGGACAGCACCTGCCCCGTGAGCTTGTGAGGAGGACTCAGTACCCGCACACCTGGCACAGGATCTCCAGGGCAGCCAGGAGGGCGGCGGGGAGCCAGGCGGACCTGGCCCAGTGGGAGGAGGGGCAGGGACACTTGCTCTGAGGACAGGAGGATGCACCACCCGCATACAGCCTCCCCGGGGCTGGCTCTCACAACTCCCCACAGGAAAACTGGTGAACTGTCTACACTTCCTGCTGCTGGTTCTTCATCTCCCTCTCCCTCCTCAGCCTATGTCTCAGGTGCAGCTCCCAACAGCCTGCTCGGCGCCAGCCCAGTGGGCACACTTCTGTCTCCACCTCTTGTAACACAGGCGGTTCCTCTTTGGTTCCACGTTGCCAACCGTCCCCACTGAGTTGGCTAACAGGCCTCTCAAGGTGAACTTGACCCACACGGTGACCACCCCTTGTCCCACCTCCCAGACCTCTCCCCCTCCAGGTCTTCTGCATTCCGCCCACAGCACCCTCCACCTCGGCCTCATGGACGGCGCCCTTCCCTGCCGCCCCTGGGCACCCCAAATCTGTCCCCTCCACGGCACTCCTCTGCTGCCACCCTCCTTCGAGCCTCGGTCAGCTCCCTCCCGGACAATTCTACCTGCCCTTCCCCCACCCACTACCCTAACTGAAACCTGTGGTTCCCCATTCCTGCAGGACAGAATCCAACCCACTCTATGGGGGAGTCTTCCCCCTCCCATGTGATCCCCTCCCCTCGTTTGGCTGTCCCTCTCGCTCACATAACCACCCACCTGAAGCCAAGTTCCTATGGGGAGGGGAGGAGGGGGAGCTGCTCATGTCTTCAGCCTGGACTCTTCCCCTGATGTCCCCTCACAGCCTCTAGATCTCTTGCCCAATGTCACCCGCAGGGTGGACCAAATCGCTGTTGTGCCACCCACTGAAATGTCATCATATCTGTGCTCTTGTGTGTCTTCCCGTGTCCTTGCTTCTGTCTCTGTCCCTTCCACACTTTCAGCCTCATGAGGGCGGGACCACATCTACCTCCCAGTGGCTGGGAAACAGGAGATGCTTTGTATGAGTTCGTTAAGTTAAGGAAGCAATAAACATGTGAGTGATGTGACCAGAGGGGCTGCGATACCTCAGAGGAGCCCACAGCCAGGTGAGCAGGCCCGGGGCGCTCAGCTGGCCCGGCAGTGGGCTTGCTGCTGTGGCCTTAAGTTAGGTCAGAGCCTTTGGAAGGCAACCCTACATGGAGAGGGAGAGGGAGAGGGAGAGCCTGGACCCCAGGAGGAGCTTCTGGTGGGCCAGCGGGAGTGACAGGACTGACCAAGCCTGCCCCCAGGACCCTCCCTGAAACGTGGGTCCCTCCTGTGAGCCCTGCTGGATGAATGGGGCAAGGCAAGCGACAAGGGTGACTGAGATGCCACATTCAGTTCAGCAGACACACATGGCCAGGTGTCATGCTAGGTCCTGGGCGGACGGCAAGGACAGGAGGGTGGAAGCCCCCTGGGGGAGGCAGGAGAGAGATGGGGCCTAAGGAAGCAGTGGGAGAGGGGCTCCCGGGAGGCCCTGCCTTGATTGGAGGGAGGATGAGAGAAGGTGGGAAATAACTGCAGGCAGAGGGATCGGCTTGGGCCAAGGCCCTGAGGTGAGAAATTGCTCAATGTGGTCGGAGAACCAGAGGCAGGGCCGTGGCCGGAGGGAAGTGTGGTTCAAGGTGAAACTGAAGCAGAAGCCCGGGCGGAAGGAGTGTGCCCCACTCCGGACACCTTTCTGGCTCTGTCAGCTCCGGGTTAGCCCCGCGGGGGACCCCAGAGCAGGGCTCGGTGCGGGGTGCGGCCAGGGGGCCGGAGAGGTGGGCTCTGACCCCGATCCTGAGGGGCGGACCGCCCTGGCCGCCGCCTCTCACCTCCATCTCCTGCCTCTCACCTCCCTCTCCCGCCTCTCACCTCCCTCTCCCGCCTCTCACCTCCCTCTCCCGCCTCTCAACTCCATCTCCCTCCTCACCTCCCTCTCCCGCCTCTCACCTCCCTCTCCCGCCTCTCACCTCCATCTCCCTCCTCTCACCTCCCTCTCCCTCCTCTCACCTCCCTCTCCCGCCTCTCACCTCCCTCTCCCGCCTCTCACCTCCCTCTCCCTCCTCACCTCCCTCTCCCTCCTCTCACCTCCCTCTCCCTCCTCTCACCTCCATCTCCCTCCTCTCACCTCCATCTCCCGCCTCTCACCTCCCTCTCCCGCCTCTCACCTCCCTCTCCCGCCTCTCACCTCCATCTCCCTCCTCTCACCTCCCTCTCCCTCCTCTCACCTCCATCTCCCGCCTCTCACCTCCCTCTCCCACCTCTCACCTCCATCTCCCTCCTCTCACCTCCCTCTCCCTCCTCTCACCTCCCTCTCCTTCCTCTCACCTCCCTCTCCCGCCTCTCACCTCCATCTCCCTCCTCACCTCCCTCTCCCTCCTCTCACCTCCCTCTCCCGCCTCTCACCTCCATCTCCCTCCTCACCTCCCTCTCCCTCCTCTCACCTCCCTCTCCCGCCTCTCACCTCCCTCTCCCACCTCTCACCTCCATCTCCCTCCTCTCACCTCCCTCTCCCTCCTCTCACCTCCCTCTCCTTCCTCTCACCTCCCTCTCCCGCCTCTCACCTCCATCTCCCTCCTCACCTCCCTCTCCCTCCTCTCACCTCCCTCTCCCGCCTCTCACCTCCATCTCCCTCCTCACCTCCCTCTCCCTCCTCTCACCTCCCTCTCCCGCCTCTCACCTCCATCTCCCTCCTCACCTCCCTCTCCCTCCTCTCACCTCCCTCTCCCGCCTCTCACCTCCCTCTCCCGCCTCTCACCGCCCTCTCCCCCCTCTCACCTCCATCTCCCGGACCTGCCGCTGCAGCTGCTCGCACGCCGTCTCCAGCTCCTCCTGCCGCTGCAGGGACATCTTGCCTTCAGGAGAGATGGGGAGGGGTTCCGCTGCCCCAGCATGGAGGCGGCCAGGCTGCCTGGGCCAGAGCTCTGCCCTGAGGGTCATCTGAAGACTCCGGGGGTCCCCTCTCCCTGACCCCGATGAGGGAGGCCCTCCTGACCCCGAGGAGGCCGCCCCCTCCTGAAGCGAGGCTCCTGAGGCTGAGGCTGCCCTCGGGGGACTCAGTCTCACGTCGGAGGGCACCAACCCCACCACCGGATGCCGGGGAGCCCTGATGCCCAGGGGCCACCGGCCCAGGGGAGGTGCCACGGGACCAGCCACTGAGAGAGCCTCTTACCCTTCTGCTCCTCGAGGATCGTCACCAACTGCTCAAGGGACTGTATTCTCTCATCCTGCAGTGACAGGACGGGGAGCAGGGATGGGGGGGAGGGAAGGAACAGGCAGGCCTGGTGGTTCCAAGGGCTCAAGGGAGCCCCTTCCCGAGGGGAGATCTGGAGCGTGTGCCTCTGTGGGGCACTAGGGAGCTGAAAGCCCTGCCCCCTCTGGCATAACCACTGCTCCCGCACCTCAGATGACCCGTGAGGTGCCACCGAGGTAGGGGAGGGTGTGCCCCGAACTCCGAGGCCTGCGCGCCTCGCCCCGCTGTGGGGAACACCGCTGGCCTCTCTCCTCAGGTCACAGGGACCCGTCGGTCTCAGGCCACACCGGGCCCTCGAGGGGGCAGTTCGGGATGGAGATGGTTCTGGAACCCACCCACCCTGGCCCACTGCAGTAGTAATAGCCTCAGTGGTCACCCCAGCCTGGACGCCCATTTCAGACTGGACCCTGGCTGTGCCTGCACTGGGGTCCCACCTTGGACTGCATCTGGTCAGCCTGGGTCTTCACCCGCTCCTCCAGGTCCTGCACCTTCCTCGCCATGGTCAGCAGCTCCCCATTGTGGGACCCGGTAGCTGCCAATCAGACAGAGTCCTGGAGCCCACGGCGAGAGCCGAGGCTGAGGTGTAGGGGTCCTGGGAGGGGGGGCCCCAGGAGTGGAAATAATAGTAGTAACAGCTGCCGCCCAGATAGGAGGGGCCACTCTAAACACTCTCCTGTCAACTCGTGCAATCCTTACAACATGCCCCCGAGGAAGTGCTGCTGGAGGAAACTGAGGCACAGAGAGAGTCAGTAAACTGTCCAATGGTGCGAGCAGGTGCCCTGAGGAGGGAACACAAACCGTGTGGACTGTTCTGTGCGGAGCGGTGAGAGGACAGGTGAGCCCTGAGGACACAGGTGCTGGTGAGAAGTAACCGGAGAGCAGTGGAGGAGCTGCTCGCTGTGACCACTCCTGAGAGTCCCAGTGGGGAGGACACTGGCTTTGGACTGAGTGGCGGTGGGGCCAGGCTCTCTCTGCCTCCTCTTCCATCTCATCGCCCCTCCTACCATTTATTCACTGGGATCCCCTCAGCGAATCCTCACCTCAACACGCTGACCTGGGTGTCCCCGGGCCAGGTCACAGAGGAGGGGATGGAGATGCAGAGAAGGAAGAAGCTTATCTGAGACACACAGCTAGTGGAGAACCTACCCGCATCCCAGCTCCTCCGCTCCCAGCTCCGCCCTACCCCTACCCAGCGCTCCGCCCAGCTCCTCCTGTCTGCGGGCCTCCCCTCTGCCATGCCCGATCCATCCTACTTCCTCTGGAAAGTTCCCCTGATGGGCCCCGTCCCCCTCTAGGCACCTGCATGATCGCAGGGTCACCAAGCCCTGTGGGGCGGTGTGGGCCCAGCCAGGAGGGCCACCTAGGGGACTGGGCCTTGCCCAGAGCCCTGCAAAGCAGGACGCAGAGAGCTGAAGGCAGACCTTCACCCTCAGGCCCTTCACTCCTCTGACCCTGGATCCTGGGCACACTGACGTTGCACTTGACTCCAGCCAGGCCACTCCAGAGGCACTAGCCACAGCCTGGCCTGGGGCGTGGTCACACCTCCTGAGCTAAGTAAAAGTGGGGCCCAATTAGCTTTATGCCAAACCCGACCCTGGATGGGTCGGGGGGGGGCTCACTTGTCCTCTCACCGCTCCGCACAGTCGGGGGGGCCAGTCCCATGGCCATGGTCAGCCAGAAATGTCCCTCTGGGCCTCTCTCCTCTGGGGCCCTTGCCTGCTGCTGGGGACCCAGACCCCTTTGGCCTCTGCTCTCACCTTGCCTACCCACAGGAGCTCCTATGCCACCATAGCAGGAAGGGATGGAGAAGTTTTCCTCCGAGCCTTGTCCATCACTCAGCAAGTTCACTGAATCTTCTGCAGACACAGAGCCCAGGTCACTGCTGGGGCGAAGACCCAGAGCAGGCTGGGGCCCTGGCCAACATGCAGCAGCCTGTATTCTGTTGCCCCAAACAAAGGAGGATAGAAAATGGGACCTTGGCGAGCACGAATCCAATGAGAACAGGCCTCTCCTTAGAGGCTCCTGGGGGCCATGGCGGGAGCAAGAGTGGGGCTGAGATGCAAAGCTCTCAGCCTGCAGGAGTCAGAGCAGTGATGTGAGGACAGGGGTCCCGGGAGAAACGGGTGTCATGGGCTGGAGGAGGCTGTTTGGGGGAGGAGGGCTGGGGTTTGGCCCCCTCTGGGTTCTCAGCACTCAACAGTCAACCCCAAGGTGGGAGGAGGGGTTCAAAGGTTAGGGATGACATCTCTGCTGGGAGTGTGGGGCCTACGGAGAGCTGCCAAGAGGAAGCCCTGTCCTCAGGGGTGGGAGCTGCAGGTGAAACTGAGGCTGGGCCAGCTGCTCTGGCTGACAGAGTATCCAAGTGCTTTCTCTCCATCTGCCCATCCACAAGGAGAGGTGGGGAGGGAGGGGAGGAAGACACCAGGGCAGAGCCCTCACTCACCGTTTCCGTAGAGCTTTACCCCTCGCCTCCTGGGGATCCGGGCAGGAAGGAGAAGGAAGACAGACACGTTAGGACCCCCTGGAATGTCATCAGGGGAGAGGCCCTGGGCACCAGGCCCCCAGCCAAGCACGAAGGAGATGGAGGGTGGGCCTCTGCCTCCTGAGGACATCCACCCCCCAGTCCCATCCTGGCACTGGGACGAGCAGGCTTCAGGGGATCCACCTCCTCCCAGCGGAGGACAGGGGAGCTGGAGGGCAGAGTCTTGGGTGGAAGACAGGGTCCCAAAGTCAAGGAGCCCAGCCCCAGCTCTGCTTTGAAATGGCTGTGGGACCCCAGGCCTGTCACTCAACCTCTCTGAATCCCCTGGCACTACGAATGATCCAAGTGGTGTTCATAACAGCAACAAAGTTTTTAAAAAAGTATTTGGTTTGGCCAGTGGCTATGAAGCAGGAGGGATTACCGGTCAGGGCACACACCTGGGTTTTGAGCTCGATCCCCAGTAGCGGGTGGGCAGGAGGCAGCCAATCAGTGATTCTCATCATTGATGTTTCTGTCTCTCTCCCCAACTCCCTTCCTCTCTGGAAAGATGAAAATGCTAGACAGATGTAAAGTGTTCCCTTTACCGAGAGCCCAGCACATGGCAGGGCCCAGAACAGGTGCACCACCGGCGTTTGCACCATTAATGCGCATGAATAAGAAGATGGATGCTAAGCCACTCGCATGGAGCCCAAACCTTACTAGAGGGCACAACCCAGTGTGTGCTTGACTACGGAGAGCCTCTCAGAAGCTAGAGAAGGATAAGGTAGCCAGGGAAAGCTACGTGAATCCTCAGTGCTCTCCCCAAGACACTAGGAGTCATTTTTCTTGTCCAGGGAGGAGCGAGGAAGAGGCAGGAGCACGGACACAAAGGACCCGGAGGCCAGCCTCCTACCCTGAATTCACATTCTCCGACAGCAGGGGCACTTTCCGGGTCTTGCCAAGGGAAGACAAAGGTGTGCTCATAGTTCTTCTAGATTTCAGTTGTCAGGAACTCCCTGAGTAGAAAGAAAGAAGTCAGACCAACCGAAACCGGTTTGGCTCAGGGGATAAAATGTCGGCCTGAAGACTGAAAGGTCTCAGGTTCGATTCCCGTCAAGGGCATGTACCTTGGTTGCAGGCACATCCCCAGTAGGGCATGTGCAAGAGGCAACTGATCGATGATTCTCTCTCATCGATGTTTCTGACTCTCTATTCCTCTCTCTTCCTTTCTGTAAAAAAATCAATTAAATATATTTTTAAAAAAGAAGTCAGACCAAAGGGTCAAGGGTTCTATTCCCAGCCAAGGGCACATGCCTGGGTTGTAGGTTCAATCCCTCAGGGAAACAACCAGTCATGTGTCTCTCTTATATCTGTGTTTCTCACTTTCTCTCCCTGCTTCCCTCCCTTCCACTCTCTACAACAGCAAAGGAGAAAATCTCCTTATGTGAGGATTAACAAAGGAAAAAGAAAAAAGAAAAAAAAAAAGCCCGTGGAGTCCCTCCCTCAGGACCAGAAAGTGGCCTGAGACTTGCTCTTCCTTGGTTACGTTCCCAGTTCCCAGGGAGTATCAGCCCACTTCTTCCCACCGCTCCTGCTGAGGGCTCTGGAGGCAGCGGGGCCTCAGGGTCCCGGTGATTAACATCCACCTGCCCCTCCAGTGTCCCGCGCTCTGCTGGGAACCCAGGGCCTCTGTCCTGGGGGCAGGCACTGGGGATGGAGTAGGCTGCGGAAATGTGCTGGAAGCCTGGGACTTGCCCAAACTTAAGAGTCCAGTCATGAGACTAACCAAGACGCCTGGGGCTTTTGCCCATCCATCAGGGAGCTGGTCAACACACAGTTTAGGTGTCCCCTCCCCTGCCATCAGAGCCCAGGTGCTACTCCTCAGAGCCAGAGAGGGGCAACCCCAGGGCAGGATTCAACAAGACACAGTCCACATGGCAGGGAGGTCAAGAAGCCAGGCTGCTGGCCCTGGCTAGGTAGCTCATTTGGTTAGAGTGTCATCCCAATGCACCAAGGTTGCAAGTTCGATCCCCAGTCAGGGCACATACAAGAAGCAACCAATGAATGCATACATAAGTAGGACACAAATCAATGAGTTTGTGTGTGTCTCTCTCCCCTCCTCTCTAAAATCAATCAATAAATTTTTTAAAAATTAAAAAAATAAAAGAATCCAGGCTCTAGACAGGTTCTGTCATTCACCCGTGTAACCCCAACCTTGGTTCCTTTGGTATAAAATGGGGGGTGAGAATAGTATCGGGGAGGGTTACCCGTGGGATTAAAAAATAACATACAATCACAGAGTTCTCATCACAACCAATTTTAGAGCATTTTCATTATTCTAACGAGCCCTATGCACTGTGCCTTTAGTCCCTGAAACAGGCCTGCATCATCTCCCACCAGACCTGCTTATCCCTTCCGTCTCCAAATTCGCATCATCATGACCCCCTCAAAAGAAACTAGTCAAAAGACAGAAATTGGAGGGGTAGAGGTGGAAGAGGGCATAGAGGCAATAAATGGTGTTGGAAAAAGTAAAATAAAATTAGACAGAAATTAAGTCTTATTGAGGACACAGGGTAATTGGATTGTAATTTGTTGGGCTGTAAAAGGGTGCAGCTGCTGTGGAAAACAGGATGCATTTCTTTAAAAGATCACTTACCTTATGGCCTAGCAATTCCACTCCTAGGCATGTACCCAAGAGAAATGAAAACTTATGTCCCACAAAAACTTGTATACCTGTTCATAGCAGCATTGTTTCGAGTAGCTGAAAAGCGAAAACCCAAATGTCCATCCATCAATGAATAGACAAACGTGGTATAACTTTATAATGGGATATTATTTGACAATTAAAAAAAGGAATGTGGCCCGGCCGGCATGGCTCAGTGGTTGAACATTCACCATGAATGCCTACCGGGGTTGCGGGTTCGATCTTCAGTGTGGGGTGTGCAGGAGGCAGCCAATCAATGATTCTCTCTCATCGCTGATGTTTCTATCTCTCTCCCTCTGCCTTCCTCTCTGAAATTAATGAATAATAATAATAAAAACGAATGAAATACATGCTACAAAGTGAATGGGCCTTGAATACATTATGCTGAGGGTAAGAAGTCAATCACAAAAGACTACATATTTTTATGGTTCCGTTTATATGAAATGTCCAGAATGTGCACTTCATATAGTGACCTATCAGATCAGTAGTGGCCTTGGGCTGGGGGCAGCTGTGGAGTATATGGAAGGTAACTGCTAACGGGTACATACAGGTTATCCTTTTTGGCCGATGAAAAGTTCTAAAATTCATTGGGGTGATGGTTGCACAATCCTATGAATATACTAAAAACTATTGAAATTTATATTTTATATCTCAATAAATCAAGCATGGGGGGGGGGAAAGAGGGGGTGGAGGGGCTCACCGGTATTGCTCTGTGGATAGAGCATCACCCTGTGGGTCCAGGGTTCAATTCCAGTTAAGGGATCATTCACTTATGAACACATGCCTGGCTTGCGGGCTCCATCCCTAGTGTGGGGCGCACAGGAGGCAGCGGATCAATGACGCTCTCTCATCATTGATGTCTCCATCTCTCCCTCTTCCTCTCTGAAATCAATAAAAATATATTTTTTTTTTAAAAAGGAGGGGGAAAACCTGGTCCCCAAACCAAATCCGACATCTTTCCCCTTCTTAATGGGACCTCACCATCCAACCACAACATTTTTCTCTCCTTCCTTCTCTCAATCCCAGGATTTTACCAAATCCTGCAGGTAAACCGCCAATGTTTCTCACACATAACTCCTCCTTCCTATGCCCACTGTTGGCCATTCTAGTGCAGCTTTCACTGTCCTTCTTTGGGACAGTCACAATGGCCCACAAGTGACTTCCCTTTTTCCACTCTCACTCCAGGCCAATCCAACAATGTCTCCAGATAAGTTTTCCCAGGATTATAGGAGTCCCCTGACTATATCTTTCCATCAGTCTGGGCCCCATGCCCCTGGGGCTGTGTCTCCTATTCCCTCAGACCTGGGATCCCTGAAGATAGGGATCCATGTCACCTAGGGACTTCCGGGGGGGGGGGGGGGGCAAACTGTGTCTTCACCGCCCTCCCTGGGACGCCTAAAGGTTGCACTGCTTCCCCCTTAAGGCTTGGGCTTTGAGGGAAAAGCTGTGTCCTAAGCCTCTATACACCTTTGGGGCCCGAGTCAAGACTGTGCTTGACTGACATCTTCCATCACTACTCGCCCTTGTTGGCTCCCCCAAGTGCGGGTGCCCCCAGAGCCTGCCGGCCCGGCAAGCTGCACCCTAGACCCCAAATAATATTCCATTATAGGGACATACCATATTTGTTCATTCATTCGTTCATTCATTCATTCATTGATGGACATTTGGGTTTCCATTTTTTACAGTGCTCTCGGAGAGACCAATTTCATCACCTAACCCCGCCCTGGGGGCCGGGTCGCCCCCTCCTCGCGTGGCCATGGAGGGTGGGACCCCAATCCGATCCCAGGACGCAGGGGGCCTGCGGGGGGAGCCGGCCCGCTGGGCTCTGGGCCCTCGGTTCTCTGGGGCGAGGCCCCGGAATGCGCGGAGGACTCCGCGGGCAAAACGGCCCCGGGCGGGACTCACCGGGCAGGGCCGAGGAGCCGCCCCGCGGCACCGCCATCTTGTTGTCGCGCGGTTTCCCAGGCGACCAGGCTCCTCTGCTTCCCATTGGCTGATCCGAGGGGGCGGGGTCTCTGCGCGACCAGCGGGGACGGAGGCGGGTAGCCGTGCCGCGCGGTTTTTGCTGAAGTGACTTGGGGGTGAATTATCTCTCGGAGCCTGTTCCCCCCTCTAATCCGCACAGGATTTGGAGGGGGCTGTTTTCAGTATGAATTGAAATGATGCAGGTGCTGAATAAATGTTTCTTAATTCTGAACTTCTTTGAAAAAAAATTTTAAAATATATTTTATTGATTTTCTACAGAGAGGAAGAGAGAGGGACAGAGTGAGAAACATCAATGAGAGAGAACCATCGATCAGTCGCCTCTTGCACACCCCCAACTGGGGATCTGCCCCCAACCAAGTTACATGCCCCCCAACCAGAATCAAACCCGGAACAGTTCAGTCCACAGGCCAACGCTCCATCCACTGAGCCAAACCAGTTCAAGCCTTCTTTGAAAATTTTTTGACCAGACAGAACTCAAAAGGGATGCTCCTGTTATAGTTCCTTTGTGTGGAAGTTCCCATGAGACACGTCCCTTCCCTGAACCTCATCTATAATTCTAAGAGGTCAGATTAGAGCTACGAGGTAGTGAAAGCATGGGACATGGGCTGTGGGCCGGCTCCTGCCTTGCGTGCCCTTGGGCAAGTGACTCAGCTTAGTTTCTTAATCTATATAATGAGGATAATAATAGCCACTTTACAGAGTTTCCATGAGGATCAAATGAGAGGATTCAGCCAAGGTACCTGTCCCAACACAAACGGAGAGTAAGTTTTCACTGCATCATCTTTGTCCCTCAACCTTCAGTTGTGATGGTCTGGGATTCTGTGACTTCTGATCTCAGGCACCCATGACATGGGCTCAGTCACCAAAGCCCTTTCTCTGTGTGGCTAAGATGACGTTTTTTAATATTTCCCCACTAGGGGCCTGGTGCACGAAATTCGTGCAGTGGGGCTAGGGTGGGAGCCCTCAGTCTGGCCTGCACCGTCTCACAGTCCAGGAGCCCTAGGGGGATGTCCGACTGATAGCTTAGGCCTGCTCTCCACAGGAAGCAGCAGTTGGACATTCTTAGTGCTGCTGCAGGGCCAGGAGCTCCGCAGCTGTAAGTCCGGCTTCTGGTTGAGTGGTGCTGCCCCTGTGGGAGTGCACTGATCACCAGAGGGCAGCTCCTGCATTGAGCATCTACCTCCTGGTAGTTAGTGCACATCATAGCAACCGGTCATTCCACTATTGGGCTGAAACCGGCTCTCTGACCCCCCCCCCAGGGGTCCTGGATTGTAAGAGGGCACAGGCCAGGCCG